ATTAGTTATAGATTTTATCTAGGTAGGCTATTTATACTTTCTATTTTCCCCTTTACCTTATACTATATACCTATATATACTATTTATTCTTAACCTTTAATATATTATATTTTAGATAGTATACTAAGGCTAGCCCTTCTTTATAGGTATCTTTATTATAAATTAGATATCTAGACTATATTACTAACTATAACTTTCTTTTATATAATTTAATATATAATCCTCTTACTTCTAACTAGTTAATTAGCTAATAAACACTAAATCCTAAAGCCCCCTTAATCCTTAGTATTCTAGAGTTCTAGGCTCTATATACTATTACTACTCTAATAACCCTTAAATAAATTAGCCCTAGAGCTAAGAAGCTTTAGGTATACTATATAAAGATAAATAAAATATAATTTATTAAGTAGTAGCGATATACTATATATACCTAACTAAATACTTTATAATATAAAGTAAACTTTAATATAAATTATATATTACTATAATAGGAGTACTTTAACTAGGTTATATACTATTAGACTAGATAGCTAATAGTACTTTATTAATAATATAGAAAGGTAATTCCTTATCTATTATAGTCTAGAGATCTTTACTTATTAAAAAAGTACTATAAGAGTAAGACCTATTAGTAGAGTAGAAGGAGTTCTTCTCTTTAGTAGATATTGAGGTAATCACTATATTTTATAGTAATATATACTATTATATCTTAAAATAAACTATATACTAATTTAATATATCCTAGTCTAAGTATCCTTCGGAGTAGAAGACTACTTTTAATACTAAGGACTAGGAATAAATTTAGATTAATTTAATTATAATATATTAACTCCCCTTCTAGTTCCTTAAAAGGCCAGAAATATTTAAATTTATTCGATTTACTTACCTCTTAAAAGATATATCTCTAATCTTAACTCCTAAGATAGTATAGTATCGCCTATAAATAATAGTTAAGGGGGATTATTAAAAGGCCTTTTCTCTTTTACTAAAGAATACTAAGCTTTTAATAGTACTTAACTACTAGACTTTACCTTTTTAATAAGTATTTATAGTAGTTACTAGCTATTTTATAGATTCTAGCTAGAATTATTATAAGATACTACTAGGCTTTAAGCTAGTATATAGTTAGTATACTAGTAGTTACCTAAGTAAGATACTATAGGATATACTACAGTAGTATAATATTATTAATAGAGTACTTATAGTAACTACTAATAATATCTCTAATAATAAAACACTTATAGAGAGCCTTTACTAGTTAATCGAATAGCTTAATCTCCTAGATAGTATATAAGTTATATAAATTCTATATCTTACCTATATAATTTAGCTTAGCTTAAAGGACCTCCTTAGATTAATAAAAGCTAACCTAAATAATAATACCGCCGATACTATCTAGTTAGAGGAAGAGAATAAGTTAGCTCTTTAAAAGGCTAAATCTAAGAAAGGAATTATCTATATACTTATAAAGATTAGTTATTTAAAATCTTTATTAAAGTATACTTATACTATTTCTAGATCTATACTTTTATAGTCTATATTAATACTAGTCCCTAATAATAGGAGTTCTTTCTAATACTATAAGATACTAAGCTAAAGCTTATACTAATATAAGATATATATATCTACTAGAATTTAATATACCTAATACTTTAGTATATAAATTATCTATCTACTATATTTAATAGGTACTATACTCTATATAACTAGCTTTAGTTCTAGCTAAGTATATAAGAGTAGTAGTAGGTTAAATACCTACTTTATATTATAAAACCTTTTTATATATAGATAGTTAGACTATCTAAGGTTAAGGATATCACTATTTATTACGTATTTAAGGTATATAATAGACTATTTAGATATTTTAAAGACTCCTAGAAGCGCCTATATTAGAAGAAGGTTCCTTAGAAAAAGGCGATACTTTATACTTTAAAGGCTAGAGAATAGAAACTTATAACTTACTATAAGGATACTAAGAAGGCTTATAGATATCTTTATATAATAGGGATAATCCTTACCCCTATATATAAGCTTAACTACTTTAAGGGAGTAGACTAAGCTAGTAATAATATAGACTAGTATATAGTATATAAAAGCTCTCTATATTCCTACCTTAAGCGATACTATTAGCGCTAGCCTATAACTTAATTAGTAGATAAAGGTAAGGCTCTATAATAAACTAGGAGTATATCTAGTCTACTTATATAGACCTAACTAAGATTAGCTATCTAAGAGAAGGTTAGGTAGTAAGAAGAGTTAATAGGTTATCTTAATCTTTATATATATACTATAGAACTTAAAACTATAATATATACTAACTTTATAAGGAACTAATAATAATAACCTATATTAATTCTAGAGATAATATAAGACCTAGTGACTAACCCTTATAGTACTAGCCTAGGATATCTTCTCTATTCCTACTACTAGTATAGGAGTTAAATAGTTATTTAGTTCGGTATAGGATATCTACTATTATAGATATAGATCTCTTAATATAACAACTATTTAAGATCTAATAATACTCTACTATATAATACGTTTTAATATAAACTATACTTAAGGCTAGCTATCTATAGAAAGCTAGGACTTAGGTAAGAGGATAGAGGCCGATAGGGAGGTAGAGACCTAACTATCTAATTATAATATAGCTAGTATTAGCGATAATAAGGAACTTAAGTCTAAAACCGAATATATATCTAAAGCCGATAATATAGATACCTATAATTATAATACTTCGCCTAGTCTCTAGGACCTAGATCTACCTCTAGATTAGGAGACTCTAGATTAAGAGACTCTAGATCAAGAGATAGACTTAGTTAAACTTCTAAATTATTACCTAATAGTTAGAATTGTATAAAGTAATAGCTAGTGTCTATATAGGGAACGGAAGTGTCGGAGAGATAATAATAAATATATATATACTAAGAGGACTAAATAAAGCGTAAATAATCAAATAAATATAATAATAATCTTTTCTAGATTCCTATTTATTGTAAATAAAATACCCTAAAATTACTAGCTTTTCTGTATAACTTATATATATCACGAGGTTAGTCGTGTTTGCACTGTTTACAGTGCTGCAGCACTCCCGCTGCAGCACTGTAGCACCGAACTAAGTGTCTGGTGCTACTAAGCCTTAGTGCTACAGCACCGGTGCTACGGGACTTGTCAAGGCCTAGTTGGACCCTCGAACCGCCCCAGTGGCGGGGCGGTTCGAGGGTCGTGAGGGTCACCCGCGGGTCACTGCTAGGTCTAGGTCAGGGTTAGGGTTAGGATCGCTTATGAGCGACCCTGACCCTCGGAGGGTCGGGTGGAGGGTCCAAGATCATGGACCACCCGGAGGGTCACTACCAGGTCTCTATATAACTATAATAATTACCTTAGTTATTATATTAAGGCTTCGAAGGCTTATTTCTACCCCTAGTCAAAAAAGTGATAATATATTAAGTTATTAAATAAAGGCTTTGAAGGCTTATTTCTACCTCTAGTCAAAAAAGTGATAATATATTAAGTTATTAAATAAAGGCTTTGAAGGCTTATTTCTACCTCTAGTCAAAAAAGTGATAATATATTAAGTTATTATATAAGGGCTGCTATAGTTTATTTTTCTAACTAAGGTCAGCAAATTAATAGTGTTACGAAGCTATTATATATAATTAAATTACTTAAAAATATAGAGAAAAAATATATATATAATATAGGTTATAAGGTTAAGAAATTATACTTACTAAAAAGGCCTATAGGCACCTACGGTATATATGGACAATAGGCCCTAAGGGTAGGGCCTATCTATAGGCGTATTAATAGTGCCTATCGCCCGCTTTTATAAGGCCCGTGGGCACTACCCACCCGCCTATCCATGGGCGATGTCGCAGTCTACCCATTTTAGGTTAGGTTGAGTTGTGCTGAAGTCTATCTAGAGCTAGGCCTAGAAGGCCGCCAAGTTGGTTAGATTACTAGGTATATATGTAGATAGTGTTATAGTTTGTCGCTATCATAGCTTTTTTAGTAGTTTCTTTTCGCTAGTCGAGTCAGTTAAGAGCCTATTCACCTTTTTTATAGCCTACAATCTATCTCTCTTCAGGGAGTTTAGTGTAGACTACCTAACAGCTTTGATACAGTTTATTGTATACAAATGGCTAATTTCGTCGTTTGTATACTATTTAGTACCTTTCTAGCACCCTAAGCGAGCTTATCTACAGTGCCAAAGTGGTTACGTGGCTTATGATGAATATTTAGAAATTCTGTTTGAGGGGGTGAAGTAGGTTTTCTTTTTACTGCCGACGACCGCTTTCTTTCAATACGTACAAAAATATGATCAAAAGATAGAGACGGAGGTTAGAAAGAATGATAATTAATTTTGAGAGCCATGCAGCCCTTGGTTGGCGAGATATAACAAAAATTAGATCTGAGCAAAAAAGAGTTGCTCCATGGACGACAGATTTGATTCAAACTCATGACCTTTGCCCACAAAGAGGATTTGCTATTAGAATTCAACTAAATGCGAGTTGAGCTGTAGCTTCTCCCCTATGTGACGTCTTCAAGTATTAAGATAATGCCGGGTTAGCTCTTTGCAACAAGTTCATTGATTCTCATTTGGCGCCTGTAGCTTTGATCTCAGCGTATAATCAGCTTAACACATCCGATGCTTACATGGGTACTTCGACACTGTAAGATGTGTTGATTCATGGCCTGGGGTGATATTACCAAGAATACACAGTCGTGACAACATTCCTGTAGTGATGCAACTGCCGCCCTATAATCCAAAGGACCATTGAGATGCCGCGCTCAGACCCATTTGCTTCTAGATTGTACGACATATGTTGAAAATCAAACAGCCTCGGGTATCGACCTAATGTGCTGATCACTTTTCTCAGTCAATTTTCTTAGTTGGTGGAGTTCCCCCGCCGGATGATCTTCATGCCTCTGATCAGTAATCAATCAGGTTAAAAGTAGCAACTCATTCAGGTCAACATTTTCCAAACAAATTTCAAGTCATGGCTGTTCACGTTGTTTCCAAACTGGATAATAACCAGCATGCAACCTTCAACCTCGAAACTGCTGCTCAGAGGCAACTAGCGGAGTCTTCAGTAAGAATTCGCACGCAGCTGATCAGTCTCACTTCAAACAATCTTACTTATGCTTTATTGGGTGGATTATTCCGTTGGTATGTCTCCGTATTAAAATATCAGAAAACAGTCTTAAACAAGATTCTCATCAATTACTCGAAGGTGGGACGCGTACCCCGTATCTGAAGACTATCCCACACCATACAACGACCCATCAGCATGGGGCATCGCCCCAGCCTGGGGCTATGCTACAGTGGAAGAAACAACCATTCCAGAATTACCCAAGGGAACACTTCTTTATGGATTCTGGCCCACAACGAGCACACCCACCGACCTCAAACTCAAACGTGGCTCACCAGAAGGCCACTGGATCGAGACCAGCGACCATCGACAGAAATTGATGCCCCTGTACAACCGCTACACGGTAGCTCAGACATCGACCCCAATCTCCGATTTGACCACCGCGCTCAATCCGCTTTCAGATTCTGCACAGGAGAAGCTAGATCGTATGGCCTGGAACGCGCTGTTCCTTGGTGGCGTGGCCGGATACGTTCTCAGCGAGTATGTTTTCTCGTCCAACCCAGACCAACCGCCCATCCATCCACTGGGAAACCAAGCTGGGGAATGGACTCTGTCAGACGGGGATCTGTCGTCCGCAGTCGTAGTAAACCTGGCCGCGTCAACTAACACGGCCCGTGTTTTTTCCTACTATCTGTCCCGAAAGCCGGATGCTTCGGCACCGCTTGGCTTGTTGCAAATTACGTCAGGTGTTTCACGCATTGCAGAGGCAAGTCGGAACATAGCTTCTTCTGTTCCTTCCAAGGCGGTTGGATACGGGGATATCAAATCCGAGGAGAATGCGGAGTGGTTGGCTAGCTGCAAGGCGGAAAAGATTGTTATTGTTGACTTCGGTGGTCGTGCAAACGCCCTGGAAGACACACTATCCCTGATCAAGAATCATGCGGAGTTGCAATCATGCAAGGTTGTTATTGTCCAGGTGGGCAATGAGCAGAAGGTATACTCGATGGAGGAGATGATTGCCGGAAGAGAAGCATCGGCAAAGCTTGGAAAGGTTCAATACAACACTTCTGGTGTTCAAGACACGATCCTCGAGACTGTTGACCTGGAAGCCTATTTTGCAACAAGAAACGAACAGTGGGAAAAATGGCTGGATGAGCGACACCTGAGCGTGCCAGGAAAGCAGATTGTGTTTGGTCGCGGTGTTGAGGGTGCTGATGGTATTGAGGGAGGATGGGAGAGACTGTGTCATGGACAAGTAGGGGGCGATGAAGGATTGGTGTACAAGATGCAGGCTTGAGATTCGACATGAATTATTTTGAATGAAGTATTTGACAAATAGAATGAGACGGACTTCGCGAAATTCAAACCCTCACAGCTGTGGGTATTGTCCTGAATCGATCGAAATCAAGGCCGGGCAGAAAATGAGTAGAATTTTCTGTTTTGTTACTTAAACAGACTATACGACCTCTTTGTATCGGGGCGAAGGCTCCAAAGTGTGAATACTCGCATTTTGTTCACTTGATGACCGTGCGTAATTGATCTCGTCTAGGGTCGGCTGGCCGCATATATCCAGTTGAGCAGCTGCCGAGACTATCAAGTCAGAGAAACGCTCCTTGTAAGGTGGAGGAGGGCTTCGGCTGCCCTGGATGTATTGTATATCCTGCCCGCGAATGGTAGAATCCCCTCCAATCACATTAGGTGTCATGAAAATCTTCAGTGGCATGACTTGTGTGATCTAATTCCTTGCTAGTTATGTCATGAAACCCCAAATAGGTTACTTGCATACCACAGCTGCTGTATCACCCGCCTCATTGCGGAAGTCGGCAGTGATAGAAAGCTCATGGCTGATCTTGATGTGTCTGGTCGAGATAGTCTGCGAGCAGGCATTGAGACTTCCGGGCAGAGAGACAGGTGTGGTAAAGCGCCATTCAATCTCGGAAAGACCATCATCCGAGGGAGACTCATCCCCTTGAGAAAAATCGACCGTCTTGGAGAACACAGTTTGAGTATGTGCTGTAGTGATAAACCGTACGTTGTGTCGTACTGATTCTGCAGCAGTAGCTTCTAACCGCGCAGTCTGTTTCTCAACCACTTTGATTGTAACAGCGTTGAGTGTAGCATATTTCAACAGCGGTGCAAACCAGCATTCCACAGGAAATGTGCAACCAAAAGGAACGTTCCGATCAGCGATGGAGAGGCAATACTGGATATTTTCGTTGGAATGACCCTCGAGAGTCTAAATATATTCAGTCATTTGATCTACTAAGTCATAGAAAAAGCGAAAATGTACTAACCAGTGGACAATGCGGTCTCAAATAGCTGGTCTCTAAATCGGAAACCTTGTAGATCCTAATCGGCTGCGAGACCACGAAATCGCTTTTGAGGCGTCGCTCGATAATGACATCCACACGATATGTGTGATATTGATTGTTTGCGCCAGTCACTGTGTCGAGAATCTTGCTTGGGAGTAGAAAATCGAATAAGAATGTGTGGTCTCCTGCCGGCATCTGGAATGCGTTGAGCGTTTTTGAAGAAGCTAGTGGTTGTTCGAGCTCGAATGTGATCTGCTCGCGGCTTTCTGCTGACCCAAAGACACCTTCCATAGGTCTATAAATAGGAATAAGAATATAGTCAATAAGTAACAACGCCTTGGGAGTCCTCACATTGCCAAGATTCCCCTCAATCGCACTTTAATATTCTTGATCGAGACAATTTGTGCAAGAGAGAGATTGAATCTTCCAGTAACAGATACCGGATGTCGCTCTTCTGAAACATATATGCATGAATCGTCAAGACTAATAGAACATGTGTTAGATTATTATGGAAAAGCTAACAATCGAATCTGATACCTCAACTTAGAGCCGATGATGTGTTCGCGGAACATTGTCAAAGATGAAGCAATATGTAGCTTGATAAACTAAAATTAGAGTCATTTAATTGAATCCGAGTCGACGAATTAATAGGGAGGGAGTCATGGCGCATTGTTTGCCTTTATACTTGTCCGCGCGACAGAGTGACAGAGCGGACATTCCTAAATGGGGTCGGGGAGCTGGTTCCAAGGCTCGAAACTCACAAGCGCAACTCTTCGCCACAGAAGGAAATACCGACATTCTTGGGATGCAGTCTAAACACATAGGTTACAACAAGTCGCAAAAATTATCAAGGTCAATCCTTAGAGAGTTTCTTATGACTTTGCTAGTGGCATTCCTTGATCTATAATGGAGCATCTTCCCACCATCAGAAGACTGCTACTTCTAAAACTATACAACACATTAGAGTACCTGAACCCATCTATCATAAAGTGTATGAATTTCTAGAAATAATTTCTAATTTAGTATAATGCCTAATCTCGGCCCAGCGACGTGCTCCCCGCTAAACCACCTTAGGTATGTCTTCCGATGGCCGCTGTTTCGCACTGTTCAATAGGGACCATTAGATAGACGATTCACGCTACTGAAACTATGACAGTGTTATGGCGAACAGCGGCCACCGGAAGCCATACTCGAGGCAGTTTAGCGGGGGATGTATGTACATTATCTTCATATCTCATGAGTCTGCAACAATTACTCTGTAGCACTATGATCAGACGACAGTGAACAATATGCCATATTAGGTCCATAACATACAGAAGAAGCAAGAAGCACAAGATATTTCCTTTCACCTTGGTGCATTTTCATCAAGCTAGACCGTCGCCATATTCGAAGTCGGCCATGTCGAGGTCTAGCAACAATTGATCATTCGAGCGATTTGGAAAACCGACATCAAGGAAATTGCCGAAAAAGGTATCAAAATCCTGGACTTCTGTTGCGGATAAAAATGGCATCGTGTCTACTTCGGCATTAGAAGGTTTATCCGATTCCAGTCGATGTTCCGCTGGAGGGTGTGTGGTCTGAGATCCTGTATGAATCCGTCTCGCCACCTGCGCGATGTTGACAGCCGATTCCGACGGCATATCATCGGTGGAAATAAGTGGCTGTGAAAATATATGATTTGGGTCAGGTGGAGAGTTTGGTCGGGTGATATTGGTATCTGGACCTGTGAAACATTCCTTGTCTATGGTGGCTTGGATATTGCTCAACAAACGCTGGCCTAGACGAGTCATCACAGCGGCTGACCACCATGTGGTGCACATGTTCTTGAGACACTGATGAAATAGACGGATTTGGGAGATGGCTGTGTGGCGTGCACTTGGCAGTTTGCTTTCTCTGAGCTGCTTGTACGTGACCGAGAAGGCTAGCGAGATGGTGTAACCGATCATGGGAAACGGCAGAGAGTCCCGGATATCTTGATTGCAACTGAGCGACGCGATGGTGTGGATCGAATGACTTTGTCGGATTTTTGATGCCAATGGTCGTGAACGACCTTGGAGCCCGCTGGAATGTGTCGAGAGAAGAATGACAGAATGATAAGCAAGCTCGAGGGACTCTGTCAGTCTACGTATTAGTCGATGTTAAAAAAAACCGGCGGAGAATTTCATACCAAGCAGGTCTGGAGACATGTCCCAGGCCTCACACTGCTCCAAAATATCTTCAAAGGAGGTGAGATTGACTTCACTCTGATCCATGACTTTCATGATCGGTCGGTATAAGTTAATCACTTCTCCTAGTTTATCGGAAATTCGAAGCCAGACACGAAACGGCGATTGGAATGTTGAAATAACGTCGTCCACGCCCTGGCTTCTGTCTCCGTCGTGTATCATGAGAGGCCTCCCATTCATAGCAGCGTTCCATCGGTCTAGACTCCAGAGACACCAGAAAATGGCCTTGGAACATGTACCGGAATGTTGGTCTGGCCTCAGCAAATGCAACCCCATGGTATGAGAATAATGGATAGCCTGGGTCAGGTTCAAGGAACTGTCCTCGGAGCCAGTAGAGCCCCATTCGTGCAGTGACAGAAGCGATAATACTTGTATTTCAAGTATCTTTTTTCGGCCCTTCTTGGGATGTTTTGCATAGCATCGTTATAGAGGATGCTGCTAAATTTCTCCAGTGGGAGGGGGTTTGAATGTGGCCCAAGGCATAGGAAAGGCACTGCGCTCCGGTCCTTCGCTGCAACAAGACAAATCGCCTGCACAAGCCGCGGAGAAAGACTACCCACTTCGTGCTGGATCCGAACTTTGCCTTCGTCAAGAAGAGGCAGCAATGGGTGTACCCGACGGAAATAGATGCCTATCAAGACCTCTTGGCACTCTTTCGAGGGCAGCCAGTCAGGGTGAACATGGGTCCCTAGTATTGATTCTAACGAGGAGCGATGGGCTTCACCCTGATCAACACTGTTCTCCTCGGCGTCCAGCCACGCACCTACATCCCCTCTCTGTGATTTGCCCTTCTGTAACCTTGACTCAGTTTGTTCCATGAGAGTCGCTATAGGGTTGGAATCACACGCAAAACGACGGGACTCTTGATCCACCTCTACAGTTGAACCTGCATCGAGAGCGATAGAAGCTTCGGCCTCTTGTTCCATAGAGTTTTGAAGTGAGGATCCGCTTGATCGCTCACCTCGTGGAGAGGCCGATCTATTTCTGACTGGTGGATGCCGCCTTGAAGCCTGAGATGCAGGACTTTGGCTACTTGTGAGACAAGAGATCTCGGGAGAGGAAGTCTCATGATGTAGTTGCTCCTGGGAGTTATGATGATAGCATCGTTTCTAGCAAAGTCAGCGTACACTTCCGGTTATTGTAGAGCTATCTGGGACAGTATGCGACACCTTTTTGTGGCGACAAGAGTTACATGCTCGCCGCGCATGTCCCCTCTTGGCATTTGTTCCATCGCGACTTATCAAGAATGTTAGCTCCATCGTTAATGATCCTCAATGTCTTGTTCATCTTGTTAGCAAGATGTTGCGGGGCTTCCCTCTCGGGGGCGGAAACGGAAGTGCGCCACCGGAGCGGCAACCGTGTCCGAAAATGGAAAGTCCGGCTGGACACGAAGGTGACCACCAATATCAACCTGAAAAAAGCCACCTGCCTATACCAAAGGAGGCTTTCATCTAATTGGAGGCTCACTTGTGATCCATTTGGTATGATATATCTCTTCATTTCAGGTACTCCTTGGCATTCATCTTCCCATGTGAGTGCCACCATCTTCCATCCTCAGCCACAGATTACTTATATGATCAGTCTCAATGCTGAGCCTCCATATTTCCTATGACAAAAGAGGGCACTGTGAGCTGGGCTGAGTAAGCACTTGATTGGAGACTACATAACTAGATACTTGAGTAGTACATACAAAGAAGGGCGATGTTGAAACTATGAAATGGTATGAAATATATATGTCACAAACTGCGTAAGAAACAGGCACGATCTACTCCGTGTTACATCCTGAGATTACCCGTGTCGCCTATCATTTCTGATATATGTCAATGATTTGAAATTCATAACTGGAACATCAGACGTCTTCGCACAATACATTTCTCTGCTTTGAAACTGTGATTTATGAGCCCCAACGCGGTATGACCTAGATTGGTCGAAGATGGATGTCCACTTGCGTTTTCATAGAAATTAGATCTTGTCTGGTTGTAGGTTCATCTGTGCTCGATTGCATTTTATTTGGTTGAACTGCATATCTCATCCTTGAGACCTGAAAGCCAGCATTGCTCTTCCCTCTCGCTCAGCGTTCCGCAAAGCCCATAAATGGGGGCCCTTGGCCCAACCCGCAGTGGACTATGGGCTATGATGGGCTATCTACTCCGTATGGGCCTGGACTCTGGCCTAAAGCCCAACCCATTTGTGGGTTGGGCTGGGTTGGGCTATGGGCTTTGTGGGCTTTGCAGAGCGTTACTCTCGCTGTAACCAGATTGCTTTTAAAATAAGCGTTGTAGGAGATAGAGTACCCATATGTTATCTCTTCAAAAGTAGATGCAATATTTCTTTGTGAGAATGATCAGAGATACTTTCTGTGTCGAATCAAAATCATAACTAGATAGTTGGGCAGGGTGCATGATATATAGCAGAGGGAGTATGGAAGGCCCACTATTCTTCGTATTCGTAAGAATATAGCTAATCTCCACGCATCTGCAGTATATTTTATTCCATCAGCCTGTTTCTCGTCATCTGAATTCGCTCATTCTCTGAGCCAGCCTCTTCCTTGGCACATCCAGCTCTTTTTAATTCCTCGTTCAAAATTTCCCACTGGCGGTACCGTCGGGGACCCCACGGATCCTGCTGGCTGATGGCTTCATCCTCCGCTCTTGTTCGTACTGTCCACCCGTGTAACATATCGCAAATCATAATACTTCCTTCTTCTAGATCATATGGCTTCGCATCAGGCATTGGCGGGAGTCCGTTAGCAAACCGAATCCAGCTTCGCGCCATTTCTTCTCCCTGACGTCGTAGGAAATGATTGCGGTGCGGAGGGAAGCGCCCTGCAAGGGTCATAAACTGGTACATGAGTTCGACAAAGTGATGCCCCATGTTGTAGGAGAAAACAGATCCTGGGAAAGGGTTCGGTAGGCCAAACTGCCAGCGATACAAACGCTGGCGACCACCCCGAGCCACTGCAACGGCGGCCGCGTGTGTGGGTTCGGAGAATATCAGGTCTCCCATTATAACCATCACGTGCTGCCAGAAGAGACCCTCATCCATGCCGTCGTGAATATCGTATGCGTCGAGCACGCGGCGGCCAGATTCTTCACCGAGGATACTGCAAACCCTTTCGATGTACATGTTTGATAATATGTCCTTCGTCGGTACGCTGAGTATAGCTCCCTCGAATGAGTCATCGCCAATCATGATCTCGTCGATCCATGAACAGTTGGACAAGATCTCGCCTTGGTTGGCCCAGAAGGGCTGCTGAGGGAAGAATTCACTCTCTGGGCCAAAGAAGGGCTTCATCGTGGTGATTTTGTTGTCCCGGATAAAGTCGATCAAGCGCGACACCGGTACCTCACGGAGCGCTTTGAGACGCTCTGCACGAGTCTCTCCTGCCACTCCCAGATATGACAGCAGGCGATGGTAGTATGCATCAAGCTCATCAAGTGTCGAGCTACCTATAGCATTGGGCGAACCACTCTGGAGGATGACTCGGCTAAACAGTGGCACGTCGGAACAAGCGTGCATAAACAGTGAGACAGCACCACCTGACTCACCAAAGGCCGTGATATTAGCTGGGTCACCGCCAAAGCCTGCGATGTATTTGTGGATCCAGAGGAAGCTGTTGCGTTGGTCTCGAAGCCCATAATTGAATGCAGGTTCACCTTTCTCCTTGGCCTCTTCGAGTAGGTCGTGGCAGGCGATGAAGCCTTGCCAGTTTAACCGGTAACCTATAGACACAATCACAACATCCATTGACTCGTGAGCTGCCAATTCAGTCATCTTTGTCGTGTCATGAAGGGCGCTGACATGGCCCTTTCCTTCAATCATACCACCGCCATGCACATATACTAGTACTGGAAGTAGTCTTTTGGGTATTGATGAGTCATTCTCATTGCCAACGTTCTTCACAGATGCAGAGATGGTCAAGTTGAGACAGGTTTGCTCATCATAGGTGACTGGCTCTTCACCAGGTACAAATCCTCCTGTTGCGCTACCTCTACCCGTGGGTTGTGGCACCTGCGGACACGCGGCACCATAATTTGTAAAGTCACCACGCGGACGATCGTCGAAGTGGTCCGGGATGTGATCAAGGAGTACGCTTTGGCTGAAACGGGCTGGGATAGTGGCGTAGGGAATGGAACGGAAATGTACGACAGGCTCAGTCACAGTTTGTCCATCAGCATGCTGGTCATCAATCAGGCGGCCAGTTAGACTGCCGAGCTGTGGATGATTAAGGGTGAAGGTGGGAGTAGTTGTCATAGTGATTCTCTCTAGCTGTACCAGGTGACAAGTGTGGTGTGTCGAAGGACAAGGTCAGAAACTCTTAAATATGGCCGAATGTCAGAGTTTAGCGCAGCGCTGGTCCCAGAACAGGAATTACTTGGCGCTCAATTGTTAAGCATCCTTGAGTACTCCGTACTCCGGACGGAGTATGCTCCATAAATCAACCGACTGGCTCCACAAAAAATGGGTGTGCTGCCTGGCTTAGCGTCAGGCAGCAGCCTCATTGGTGCCCCTTTCTTCAGGCCACAACGTTGGACGACGTAACAAGACTCTGCTGTTTTTATTATTTAAAAGGCTTGTTGCTTCCTCTTTTCTGTTCTACTCTCATTCAAATTTGATTACGGTTGCTTGCTCTCATTTCACTCTTATGCACCTCGTATACCTCAACCTCGTACTCGATTGACCCTCCGACCCTCAATCTTTACATCCTACACTCCTATTTTCTACCACCGAATTCTGTATTAACAGTTGATACCTACATCATGCCAGCTCAGAATTTCAAGAAACTCGTTATTTCTGTGGGCGGGACCTTTCCTACTTTCAAACAGGGTATGAGGCAGAGCCCCCTATTGCCCCTGAGGCGGTCTTGTGATTAGTTCATGTCCACGATACCTAAGTATTTATATGCTGACTAGCATGTTGCTTCCAGCGGACCTGAAGGCGCTCATTGAGAATCAGGGAGCGACATTTAGCACTGTGGTAACAGATGATTGTACACATCTAGTGACCACTGAGAAGGATGTGGAGAAGCAGACCACCAAATGTGAGTGAACTAGCACAGGCCAAGACCACCTCTAAAGTTTGAAACTCGTTTGTGCTTTCTCAATGCTCAAAGAACCACCCTCTTGATACTGGAAGCGGTGATACACTGTGCTGGAATGTCGATGACGATGTTGAAGATGGTTGTTTGGTCCCTGAGCACCCATCTTGAATGGCAGGTCTAGACGTTGGTTGAGGGCAAGCAGAGGTCAACGTTTCGAAATTTAGAGGTGTCAGTCAAGACACAGAATTGGGGCTATTGAATTAATCAATTCGCTAGACAAACAAGCTTCTCAGCTCGCCAATTGTCACATTGTCCCACTTTCGTGGCTCCTTGAATCAGCCAAGGCCAAGAAACCGTTGGCAGAGTCGAAGTACTCCTTTGGCCAGACCAATCAGGCATCTCAAGTGGATAATGACACACAGCAGAAGACCATGGACGGCAGCGCATCTCTCCCTGTGGACAACAAGCGTGTGACCAGGACCCGAGGTGCGGAGGTGGCCTCTGCTGGGACTGATGCCGGGAAAACACCAGACGGCAGTCAGAATAATGGGGAAAACGGGAGGTCTAAACCATCCGAGGATAAAAAGCCCGCGAGCAAGAAACGAGGCTCGGATGAAGACACTGTTAAAAACGGTCCCAACAAAAAGACAAAGGACACCCAGAAGACAGCCACAAAGGCAATTCGAGTCCCAATTGATGAGGGATTTGAGGCACTGGGTAAACTAAAGGGTAGGTCTACGACACGAGAAGTCATGATTAGGAGACAAACTAACCTGTCTTGTCACAGACCCCAAGGTGTACATTGACTGTGCAGGCCTCATCTGGGATGCCACGCTGAGCCAGACTGTGGCAGCCAACAATGCCAACAAGTTTTATCGCGTCCAGTTGTTGGTCGGCGCAAACTACAAATACTTTGCCTGGACGCGCTGGGGTCGAGTTGGGGAGCATGGGCAATCGGCCTGTCTCGGAGACGGCAGTTTGGCAGGCGCCATGCAACAGTATCAGAAGAAGTTCAAGGACAAGTCAGGCCTTAAATGGGAGAATCGGCTCGATACACCCAAGCACGGAAAGTACACTTTCCTTGAGCGCAATTATGAAGAGGACGATGAAGGCGAGGAGCCTGTAAAAAAGGAGAAGACTATCAAGGAAGAAGAAGATGTGCCGATGGTTCAGAGCACCTTGTCCAATGGGCTTCAAGACCTCATGTCTTTCATCTTCAACCGACAGAATGTTCTCGACACATTGGCCGCAATGTCCTACGACGCCAACAAACTGCCATTGGGAAAGCTGAGCGAGAGGACTTTGAAAAGCGGCTTTTTAGTTCTGAAAGAAATATCAGAGCTTATGGCCACGCCAGCCGTGGCACAAGAAAAATATGGCGAGCCGTATAATGCTGCCGTGGAGACATTGAGCAACCGATATTTCACTTTGATTCCGCACGTCTTTGGCCGTCATCGGCCCCCAACCTTGAACACAAATGCGCAGATCAAGAAAGAAATCGAACTGCTGGAGGCGCTGACTGACATGGACGTTGCGAATGAGATCATGACATCGTCCAAGGAAGACGATGACATCCACCCGCTGGATCGCCAGTTCCAAAGTCTGGGTATGAAGGAGATGACCGAACGTAAGTTTAGTTCCTACAACCTGCAATGTATCGTTAGACTGACAATTCCCAGTGGACCCCAAATCAACTGAGTTCATAGAACTCGAGAGCTACCTCCAGAACTCACGCGGTGAGACACACCACATGAGCTATAAGGTAGTCAACATCTTCCGCATCGAACGCCAAGGTGAAAACGACCGCTTCAACTCATCCTCTTACGCCGACATCGCAAACAGCGACCGCCGCCTCCTCTGGCACGGATCCCGCAGTACAAACTTCGGTGGTATTCTCAGCCAAGGACTGCGCATCGCACCTCCCGAAGCACCCGTCAATGGTTACATGTTCGGCAAGGGTGTTTATCTAGCAGATACCTCCAGCAAATCCGCGAATTACTGTTGTCCCCAAAACAGCCGGGGGATGGGACTTCTTCTTCTTTGCGATGCGGAACTTGGTGCTCCTATGCTGGAGCTTGACAGGTCTAATTACAATGCCGGTGAAGACGCACTGGCTGCTGGAAGCATTGCGACGCTCGGCAGGGGTAGGAACATTCCTGGTGGGTGGAAGGACGCGGAATGTTTGAACCCGACCTTGGCAGGTGTGAAGATGCCTGATGTGGTTGTTGGGAGCGCCAAGGAAGATGAGAGTCGGGGCCTATGGTACAATGAGTACATTGTGTACGATGTTGCGCAGATCCGACAGCGCTACTTGTTCCAGGTTAAGATGAACTGAACGGTTTGCTTTGCATGGAGTACTGGTTTAGTGATGAGGGAGTCATTGAGCGGGATATACTTTTCTTTGTTAGTTGATTCGCATCTTTCAAAATGTAACATCATGCATACGAGGATATTGAACTTTTCTGGGTGTGATTGAGAAGTATAATTACAATTAGCAGACCCGCCAGCCTAAATGGTACAATAATGAGTCCAAGCCAGTACGAAGGATGAAACCCTTTATAAAATCGTTACTGGTCATTTCTTCTTTTTATCTCCGCTCTTTATGTCTTTGTTCTTAGATGGGTCCAAATGCCAGATGAGCGGCGTTGTGCTGGTATGTAGTGTTCATGATATTCCTATGTACTTGACTGGTCAAGAAATTAGCCTGGCCAGTATAGCTAATCTTGTATCGAAAAAGAGCTGAGAAGGGGTAATATATGATTTTAATCAGAGAATGGGGAGGATGCTATTGCACTAGCACTTTGAAAGCTGTGAGGTAGTCGACTTAAAGCAATCTCATGCACGATCTACACATTGTGGATCCAGCATCTATCGAAATCGAAAAGCTTGATGAAGAAAAGCAATGAACTAGAGCCATGGCAAACTCTGGGAAAAAAGTGCCCGATTGGGTCTATTACTTGCCGAGCAATACCTTGCTATAAGCCTCTGTCAGTCACCAATTCTCCTAAAGGGAAACAGGGGCTGGTCATTCATTCAAGCATCAGTCCAGCGAAGCCATCGTCTGAGTCACGGATTCCTTTGATTCAATTATGATCCAGCTCCTTGGTGTCGCGACCTAATGAAATCATCCCACTCGTCTAAGTATGAGGCGATTCAGACTTTCCTCCGCCCGTGCGCGAAATGTGAGGTATGTTGATCTTCCTCAGATTCGTCCATAGCTTATGGCAGTATACCATAGGTCACGCGAAGGATCAATGTGCATTTCAAGGGGTGATTATGGATCAGGGGACTTTCAAGGCTGAGTATCCGCTATGGTCTCAGTTGACTATCCCTGAACGTTATTTACAAGACCTGCCGTGAACCCATTGCCTAGTCTATGGTTGGAAGTCCCATCAGCTGGTTTGATATTAAGCCCCGTGGTCAGATATTGACAGAGGCCAAAATTGGTAGCAAATATTGAGCGGATGAGGAATCGGGAGGCAACCACATCAACTGACAGAACTTGATTTGGAGAGCCACCGATGTGGAGAATCTTCATTCAATGGCGCGTGGCCACTGCCTTGACGAAAACACAAGCCGGCTTTTTCCATCATACTGTAGCGTGTACGGAGTAGCCACAGATTCAATATATTCCGGGGTAAAGCACGTGGCCAAATGCGGTCAGCAATGTCACTTTAGCCAGGGCGGTTCCTGCGCTAAGCCAGTTTTGGCAGAAGGGTCACAAAGCTAGCCTATTCAGGACGAGCGTAGCCTACAGCACTCACATCAGGCAACGCGCCTAGACCTCGGGACGTGGGGACGCGGGGCTATGACATGCCGAAGGTCAAGATCCCGAACGAGCAAAAATGAGAAAGGTCATGCGACGCGACATTTATTGAACTACACCCTCAATATCCTCCGAAACAATTTTCCTCAATTCAATTGAACCAGCTCAAAGACACATCAACCCTCCTAATCCTCCCGAACACCAAACCACCACACCCCACCAAAATGACGACCACAATTCCAACCCAAACCCCGCCATCCGCCAAAAAGCCCCAAATCAGTATAATCGGCTCCCTCAACATCGACTTCGTAACAGCAACCCCACGCTGCCCCGGACCCGGCGAAACCCTCACAGCAACTTCCCTGACCGTCTCAGCGGGCGGCAAAGGCGGAAACCAAGCCGTCGCCTGCGGCCGCTCCTCCTTCACATCCCAAACAACCCAAGATGTATGCGTGAACATGATCGGCGCCGTCGGCGCCGAGGACCCATACTACTCTACCCTCCTACAACCCGCGCTTGAGAAATCCGGCGTCGACACAACATCCATCGAGCAATCGACTGTCGCGCAGACCGGGTCTGCCAGCATTATCGTGGAAGAAGCCATTGGGGGCGAGAACAGGATTCTCGTCGTTCCCGGCGCAAACCACGCTGGATTGCTGAGCTCCGTGGACAATATTCTTGCTGCGCTCAAGAGCCAGTCGACGACCCCCGATCTCGTCGTCTTGCAGGGTGAGATCCCGCGCACCACGACACTGGGACTCCTGGAATATTTCAATGATGCTTCTGCCTCGGATCGCGCGAAAGTGGTGTTCAATCCCGCGCCCGTGTTCCCAGATGGAATTCCTCTTTCCGCGCTGCGCGGAACCGCCGTACTTATTATGAATGAGACGGAGGTTGTGCAGATGGCGCGGTCGATTGAGGGACTTCCTGTTGGGGATGTTGTTGAGGGTGATGATCTACGGCCCGAGGAATTGGCGCCGCAGTTCCATGAGAAGGCAGGCGTTGATATTGTTCTTATCACGCTTGGCGCGAAGGGAGTTTATTTCTCGACGAAGACTGGTCGCACTGGTATTGTTGCTGGTGTTAAGGTTGCGAAGGTTGTTGATACCACTGCTGCTGGAGATACATTTGTCGGATATTTCGCGACTGCCGTGGCACCTTTCCTGGCAACGGGACGCAGCTTGGGTGCGTTCGATGATGATATTGAGGCAGCAGTTTCGACGGCGAATGCTGCTGCTGCTATGTGTGTGCAGCGACGAGGTGCTATGCAAAGCATTCCCTTTGCGTACGATATGGAATAAGGGATACAATGATGGAATGTGAATATGGGTACCATGTATGGAAAAAGAATATTAGATATGGCGTTTTGGGTATACTTATGAAATCATAGCGTCAGCTTCGTCGTCGAATTCCTCTTCGTATCGCGCCAGGTTCCACGCCGCTTGAAGCTCGCTAGTCTCTCGGTCCAGTTTGATCCCTGTCGTAGCCGTGATTCTTGCAAATCTATCTAGTAGAACAGTTTGTTGAGACTCATGTGTCATCTCCTTGGCAATGATGAGAAGACTCGCAACCAATATTGGATCCCATTGCTCGGGGGAGTCATTGCTTGCTGCAATCCCGGCAATTGATTGCGCGTGCCATATATGCGAAGTGACGGACCGTGGTCCGGGTAGTGATTTCAGAAGCCGTGGCTTATTTGTGAGCAATAAGAGAGAGATCATATGGTAGACAGCGTTGGCGACCAGCGCCATCGGGGTCGTGTAGATGAGAATTGGGAATGAGGAGTCGTGGTCTGGGTCGATTTGGTCAGCTTCGCTACCACGAATGTCGACGATCTGTTGTACGTCTACTGGCCGCTCGTTGTACCATTTCTGGCAGTCTGACCAGAGAAATGTCCACTGTGATAGCGAGCGCGATTGTCGTAAAGATGGGAATGCTGCCAGGTCTGACGATGGGACCGTATGAGGAGAAGATATCTCTGGATCGCCATGTATTAGGGCCAGGCAGTGTCCCAGAAGACACAAGATGTGCTTGTAAACGGAATTCACAGTCTGAGGACGCATGGATTGTGCGTGGTGCAATAAGGTACCATCTCGTCGTAATAATGATCGGAAGGGCATGAGTGGTGGTTTTGAAGAGGATATTGAGCTTGCGAGATCTGTAATTTGCACTGGTTAGTCAACTGCCTGATCTTTGAAACCTGTGAGAGATTGACCTACCAAGCCGGAAGTAAAGCCATAACAAAGCATCCCCGACCTCTTCTCCCACTGCTCGTGACGCGAAGTCGCTGACATGCTCTATTCGGTGAATTAAAAGGCTTCTCCACTGCTGCGGCCCAGCAGGTAGAACATCCTGAAGCATCAATAGGGTATGACCAGCATATCTAGCCAGATCATATTCAAGCGCCAGACTCTCCTCCGCTTCCCTTCGGAACTGCTGGCTGCTTTCTAGGTCCTTGCTATCCGGCGATGTCACCAGAAGCCGCTGGGCTGCAGATAGAGCAAGAACCGCAGCTTGCAGGGCTCTGTTGGTTCGCGAGAGCAGAAGAACATGCAGACCGAACGGGAGCTCAGGGTCCCCGGTGTCGATCCAAGGACCAACGTGGTACCGGAAATGTCGAAGCAAGTCAGTCTCGTGACTGCCATCTGTAAGTGTCCCTCGTCGCTCGACTGTTCTACCGCCGGCGACAGATCGGTATCCAAAGTACGGAGCACTGTTCATGTATCGAGCACCCGGCGCTCGCCGTTCAGCGACAAACGGGACTGGAGGTCCAGAAAAGTCGACATTGGGGACTGCAGGTGACAATATGTTTTGGAATTCAAAGGCACGGCCTGTGTCTCCAGGATCATCTGGGCCATCGGTCGAAGACTGTAACTCGTCTACGGAAAATCTAGCATTGCCATCGCTCTGAGAGACATTTGCAGAAGCCTGCGGGACCTTTGATTTGTCCTTGTTTACAGCTGCAAGGGGCGAATCATCGACAAACTTCTCCGTAATCAAAATCAGATATCCATATCACATGGACAAGTGGACTCAAAAGTCGGAACCCATTGTGGAGCACTCACTGTAATACTGCTGTACGCCTGCCTCAAGGCACCGGAAGTACCCCCTCGCGCTGCGACACAAATTCCAAATCAGAGCTATATTTACATGCGAGCCCCTTGACCTCACAATTGGCACAGATCGGTTTCTGCTCATCACCTACAACGTCAAATCGTCAGTTCTGATCGCGAAAAAAAAAGAACAAGCCACGTGACGCGTACATTTTCTTCTCCTTTTCCGACAGGTCAGGCAGCCAGTCCGAACCCGCTGCTTAGCCGTCGGTGTGGGTTTCCTGGGCATGGCGAGACGCGATATACGGCATTACCCCAGATGTTGCGGTTAAGAAAGATCGGAGGCTCTGCATTCCCGAAGTGTGCTCGACTGCCGATAATTTGGGTGGGTCGACCAATAAGGTCGAGCCGACGGTTCACGGTGGACGAGGTCAAACTGGTCATTAAGGGCTTTGATACACCATATCGCGGTCCATTTTAGGTGGGATACACTTGGAGTAAATCTACAATTTTGTATTGAACCGTGATCGAAAGGAGTCACTTTAGCTCAAACAACACATTTCATATCAATTTCTTCATGCATACTTGTGATATACATGGTGATGCTATAAGTTTTTTTTTCTCTTCTCATTTCCCGTTTCAACCAGTGTTGCTCTAAGAAACACATCCTCCTTGCAATTGCCCCTGAAGTCAAACATACATCCGAGGTCACGACTCAACTCATCAAGCAGCAATAGGGTTGATATCTGCAATGTAAACTATTGTACGCTAAACATATCGTTCGAAAAAGTGGATCAAAGATCTGCAAATGCAAGAAGTAACTTCGTAAACGTTGATAAATTATATACTATTTGACATTGAGCAACGCAAGGCCCATTTTTATACAGCTCGCTTAAACCTTTTCAATATACTGCGACCCCTGATTCTTCTCAAGGTCGCCGCCGTTCCCAGACATACGCGCAAGGAACGCAGTCAAGCCAACATCGCGCTGCGCTTCACGGAGTAGCTCGGCATCCTGTTCGCCAGCATTACTCTTGAAAACACGATCCATATCTTCCAAGGATGCGCCCTTGGTTTCGGGCAGGAAGAACCAAACCCAGACCATGCCACAGGCAAGGAAAGCAGCGAAGAAGATGTAAGTACCCCATTCCCAGTTCTGGAGCATAGGGGGAACAAAGAACGCGATAGCGAAGTTGTTAATCCAGTTGCTGAAAGCACCGATGGAGGCACCCTTGGCGCGAATGGAGAGAGGGAAGATCTCGGAAACGAGGGTCCATGAGACGGGACCCCAGGTGGCGCCAAAGCCAGCGATGTAGAGCCAGATCAAAGCTAGAACGGATTGGTTAGCGATTTGAATATAACCTTCGGAGGATAACTTAATTACGTACCAACTGCGGTCCAGCCAGCTGCTACATGGTTAGGCCAGTCGTGTTGGAACTTGGCCACGATCACGCCGACGATGACCATGCTGAGAAGCATAACCAGAGATCCGCCCAGGAGCATGGGCTTGCGGCCAACCTTGTCGATGACCAACATGCCAGGGACGGTACTGATGAGGAAAACGACACCGGTGACACCTGTGGCCAGAAGAGCAATTGTACCGCCGGTCAATCCGAGACTGACAAAGACATTCGAGGCGTAGTAAATAACTAGTGGATAAGGATTAGCAGGAGCCTCGCAATGTCTCTCAGGCAAGTCAACTTACTAGCATCAATACCACTCCATTGCTGGAAGAACATGATCAGCCAAGCAATGCAAACACGCTTGAAGTTATCCATCGAGCGGAAGCAGTTGGTATACTGCACGAGCTGGTTCATGAAGACATTCTTCTTCTCTTTGTCTGCAAGCTTAGGCGAAGCAATAGCAAATGCACGCTCCTCAAACACAGCCTCAGCCTTAATCTCAAGGTACTCCATCTGAACAAGGTCATGATCAACAGTGAGCTTTCGCATCCAAGCAATAGTATCCTGAGCCTCCTGATCACGACCCTGCTTAACCAGCCAGCGAGGCGAGAAAGGCATGAACCAAATTCCACAAGCAAGCGCAACCGCAGGAATACCCTGAATGATAGAAGGCAACCGCCAAGCAAGATCAGACTGATCAGCCCCGGTACCACCGATGTTGTTACTGCCGTAACCAACCCAGAAAGAAATCATGATTCCGAGAATAGTAGCGAACTGGTAGAAAGAAACGAGCAGACCACGCATTTCGGGGGCTGCGAGTTCGGCGTTATACAGTGGCCCGACACCACTGAACAAGCCGACGCCAAGGCCGGTAAAGAATCGGCCCGCGTACAGCATGGCCGGGTTGCCGGCCGTCGCGCCGATGTACAGGTAACTTCCGAGAATGACCCAGCAGCAGGCGAAGAACATTGTGTATTTGCGTGAGTAGACTTCTCCCAGGATACCGGCTGATAGGGAGCCGACGACACCACCCAATTGTAGGATGGAGGTGAGCCAGCCTGTTGCGGTAGAGGAGGCTACTACTGAAGGGAAGTTGTCTATGAAGCGGGTCATGACCAGGGACTGGCCGAGGACACCTTGTTGATATCCATATTCGAAACCACCGAATCTGGCGAGATGTTAGCATATAGATGTTGAGTGTGAGTGTGAGGAGCTCTTACGAGGCGAAGAAGGCAATGGCTAGGACTTTAGGATTGTCGAAGATCGACTGCCACATTGATTTCTTTGCAATGTGCACTCGTGAAATGGATTCCACATCAGTGGATGATCGGACTGTCATGTTGGGCAATATTGGATGGGAATTTCCAAAGTAGCACTAGGAGATGAAATCTGGGGAATTGAAAACATGGGGGAAAGAGGGTCTCAATATATACGCTTCCATGTTGGATCGAAGCGAACTGGATGTGATTTAATTCTGTCATAGTCGGAGTGGCACCACGTGCGATGAAAAAAAAAAACAACTCAACCCGCATTCGACTTCTCCAGTTTCTCGTCCAAATCCCCCCCGGAACCCCAAATTTTGCTATTTTTGTGGAGGCGAAATGGTGGAGGAACTGCTTCGCTAAACCCTTTTGGGTGGTACGTAGCCTCCCATCTCCCAGACTGGCGACAGTGGAGACGGCACAGAAGTGGATGGCCTCGGGATGATTCGGTTTCTTGTTTTTGCTTCGGGCCCTGAACGGGCTAGCCCGACTTGGGCTATAACTCGGGTCTCACTCGGGAAACTGTGGGGTGGCCTGTTGTGTCTTTTGGGAAGATAGAGCCACCTTCGCAAGATCGCGCCTGATCGGGATGTAGAGAATTTCAAGGTATTCGAGACCGCTCATTGATGATGAGTTTGAGATACGTTTTAAAGAACCACGGGATGGGATGTTTTGGATGTTGATTAAGTGGATGTAACGGAGTTTTCTGTACCGAGTACAATATATCGCATTTATCCCTGGTCCTGCAATGCATCGGTCCACATCGATTCCGCAGCTATGCAGCTCATTGCTCGCTTTCGTCACAAACGGGCTTGCAGCACCCCATGCCCCGGATAAACACCATACCATCATGGGCACTGATTGGTATACGCAGAAGGTGTGCCGTGTCTGATAGCCGAAAATAGCTCTATGCTTGGCCACTAGTGAGGAATAAATATACATACATTATCGCGCTAATGTGCAATGACAAAAGTAAAATCGGGACCCAGACCCAGCTGACAGCTGGCAGCCTCAGATGGCACTCTACTTGGTCGCGACTCCTTTTATGCCGAACATCGCAGCTGCACTTCAGTCTACCAAGACGCAATACGGCCAGCCGCTAATCGACACATAGAACCGTTTTGGTATGGGACATAATCCATGGCAATATGCCCTGGGGCATCCGCGTAGGACAGGACAACATTGGAAGCCGAAGGCAAGGATCCGAGTTCGGGTCCAAGGAGGCTTCCAAGGTTTCCCCACGGGCCGACCGAACGACTTGACTTCGGCGGGGGCAGCTGGCCCACAAGTGTCCCGGGTATCCATCTACCGCTGGAGCATTGACCAATATCACGCTTGCTGTGCTTGTAGATCCGCAGTTTGCGTCACTCGCCAAGGACCTGGCGATTATGAGTGGATATGTATGTTGATTTGATCATGCTGGAGGCGACCGACAGGTGAGTTATTTTTCTGTAGTCTGGTTTCAAAACTGGTTTGTAGTTGGTTTTATCGCGGGCATGAATGGAATTCAATGGACCGATCTCATGATGAAACCTCACTCTCCAAGATCACCGTGAGAGCTGACTTTCCCATGTTTGCCATTCCTGGCAATGTTGCTAAGACTTGTGCCGGTTTGAAGTGAATCAATGGATTGGACTTTTTTGGACGGAGCTTGCCTGGTGTTGCAGGTATTTTGGACTGGCTCGAACCCCGAGAGGAGCCTCGGATCGGTGTATAGAATGGTTGCAATGTATACCACCATTTCATCATCTGTGTGACCGTTCTTTCGCACCTTGCTTGCCGGTCGTTGGACTGCAGTTCGAACAACATAGGGTCGCAATTTTGTCGGAACGAATCCAACCAACTTAACCCTAACAAAATTGGCACTGTATCATTTGAACGCTCAGATCACACCCGAAATCTCCCCCGGTTCATATCCCCAAGCTCTCTCGAGATCCTTGAGTCGCCACATAGCACCCCACCCAGTCGTGCGCTCAATAATCTTGAATAGCTTGGCCACCTCAACATGCTCACTATGATGGCTGAGTAGCTTCCCCGCAATGTAGAGCGGCTGAATGGCATTGATCAAATTGCCACTATGAGGGTTCGTCAATGAAATCCCACAAACCCTGCGAGCATGCCAAATGGCCGAAAAGTGTGGCTTGGAAGGAGGCGGTCCCCTCTCAACAGGTCTCATATCCAGCATCATGATAGATGCAGCGTGGTACAACTGATTTCCAGAAATAGCCGCCCAATGCGCAAACAGAATCTCCGGAAAGATGTGCCCGCTGCCCATCCCCGTAGTCTTAATAGGCAGCATAGCAGGCGGGCGCTGCTCAAGCCAGTACTGAAGCTCTTCCCAAAGCCGGCTCCACTGTTCTGAAAACGGGCGCGGATCACCAGAGGTCTCGCCCAGTTCCAAGAATCGCGTTCGACGACAAGAAAGGTCGCAAGTCTTCGCGCATAGATACACCGCCCAATTAGCCTGCATATCAGCGGATACATGGCCCTTCTCGCAGAACATATCCCGGATGATATCCTCCTGTGCCTCTTTAGAAGAATCCTGCGGCATAGCGGGAACCCATTTATCCAGCGGGAGGACTGTACTCTCCGCGCCGTTGGAGATGATCGCGCCGCACAGCTCCATACGTGCGTAGCACCAAAACACGGCTTGCAGGTGTCCGCCTGAGAGGCCGTTAACATTGAAAAGGTCGAAAAGCGCAGCGCATCCCTCCACGTGCCGTCGCCAGTCACGGGGGCTGACAGACATTAGTTCCATCACAGCGAGGATGCATATTGTCACGAGAACGTTTGGGTCTTTTGCTTGGAGTAATGGTGCTAGCAGGCGGATGGATTCTTGGTACAGCTCAAGGCTGTCGTAGGCTTTGTCCAGGCAGGCTTTTCGCTCCGTTTGCCGTGCGGAGAAGGCGAGGATTGCGTAGAACAGGGCTGGTGAGCCCTGGGCTAGAATCGGGATGTGCACGCCGAAATGGCGCGCCTCGTCGAATTTATCAAGGTACGGCGCGCATTCCGTGATCCAGTTTTTTAGGTAGAAAATTAGTCTGATTTTGGGGATTGAGAGAGCCCGTGTGAAGTCTAGGCTTTGCCGTGGGGGTCGGGGCTGTGGTCCTTCAGTTGGTTCTAGCGGAGCTGGAGATGTGTAGGTCGCTGGCTCGAGGCTTGCTACAGCGGAAAATAGTACGCAGCGAAGTTCTTCTTGTAATTCGAGGAATCTGGGGTTGGCAGCGTAGTCGTCTGCGCTGGAGAATGTACCCGGCGATAAGAAGGCCTCTTCCTCGATAAGGGGGGTGGCGCTGTTGAAGGTGTCCGGCATCCTTGATTCAGGACGTAATGGGGGAACTGGTTCCTCCATGTTGAATGCTTGCGGGCAGAGATTGGAAAGTCTGGGGATTTTCTGGGGTAGAAAAAAGAACAAAGATGGAGAATGCCCGAAGAATGCCCGGAGAAAAATGCCTCCCAACCTTGGAAAACTCAGCTCTGGAGGATGCCAACGCCACTGAGTCGCGGAAGCACACGGGTCCCTCTTATTTAGGAGCGCGATTTCGTATAAATAATTGTGCTGGTTTATTTCATTTGTGTCGATGGATATCTGAGTCTACAGCAATTTTTTTCGTTCAGATGGTCAATTATATATCTCGAGCTTCGGTGGGAAAATTCATTTTTAAAGAACACCACAGTCCTGAACAATTCGAGAGTGCACGCTTTCTCTATGCGAAAAACATATCATTACACATAGGATCATCACTCAGTGACGAGAATCGACCGCACTAATGTCGCTGCTCCACACCAGCTGCAATCTGTCTCAGCGTTGTTCGCTCTAAAATCCTCCAAGTAGCATCAGCAAGCCATGCAAGATATCATTGTATATATTCTTGCCAGAGACCACAAGCCGTATCCATCTTAATCCTCTCCATGGACACTCCAATACATCAAGACGATTTTTGAAAAGACTCGTGAAAAATCCTGCTAACAAAACATAGGTGTCGCTCCTCAAGAGATATTGGGATAGACCTTGTTACTTGCCGCACTAGCAGTTTCGAGCTTTTCCAGAAGAGTCTTAGCCAGCCTCTCGATACGAAGTCTAAAGAAGATCTCTGGGTCATGATCGCCCAGGTCAAGTCCCAATACGCCTGCGACTTGCTTCAGATGAGCAGATCGCGTACACTCAATATTCCAGTCCCTTGCAAATTGCTGGATCATGGTGTAGAACTCAGGAGCTGTGACTTCTCCGTGGTCAATACCGGCCTTCCGTACCTGCTCAACCGCTCCCTCTGGCGCGTGGCGACGCATACGCTCAAGTAACTCCCCAATGGATCGTGAGATGTACAAATCGGCGCTGGCGTGAACCACACCTGTCGTTCCTTGGGCAATATGAGCCAGGCAAGTACGAGCCACGAGATCAACTGGTATCTCATTGCAGGCTGCGTCCGAAGGTAATGTCTGCTCGAGCTTCAGAGGCCCATATTCCGAGTCTCCTAGGAGGATTTGGAGAAAGGAATGTACGGGTATAGCGCCATCGCTGCCATAAAGCGGGTAGGGCTCCTCGATTGCCGGTGATATGAGGCAGGGTCGCACGATGAGAATGGGGACTTTGTGGTCGCCACCAACAAGCAAACATTCAGCCAGGTGTTTGGCCAATGCATAGGGAGCCGCGAATTCTTGTGTATAGGATGATTTTCCTGTTACGAGAATCTTCCCTAATTCCTCTACTGGGTCTTTGTATAGAGGGTAGATTTGCTCCTTGACCACGCCATCCGGAAGGAAGCTGGAGACATATGTAGTTGATATGTGAAGGAAGCGATGCAGTTGGGTGAAACTGTCTAGTAGAGCAGCCAGTGTTAAATGGGCGGTGCAATTAATTGGTATAGTCTCTGCGAGATCCCGAGATAGGGCGATGTCACCGGCAGTATTGATCACCATCGTAGTCTCATTTTGTAGGCGCGATAGGTTGGCGGGTGAGAGACCGAGGTTCGGCTGGGTCATGTCCCCGAGGAAGAATTGGATCTTGCAAGTGGCGATAATCTCTTCTACTTGCTCGGGCATCGATTGTTCCCATGCTTCTATTGCCCTTTGGACAGATCCCCGCACCAGTACGAATATTTTGGAGGTTGGAAGTTGAATGGCTAATTTGTATAACAGACAGCCGCCGAGATTCCCGGTTGCTCCCGTGAGAAACACGACTTGTCCTCGAAACCATTCGACGTCCATCTTGATCGAAAGCTGCTTGCTGCTCCTGGGTTAGGTGTGTTAGCAAAATCTGTTGGGACAGTCGGACGATGTACGTGGGTATTTGTCACGTAGGTGGCTGGATAAAGTACAGTCTGGCCAGACTGATACTCAGATTTAATTACCTATAACAAGGTCTCTGAGCTGCAATCTACTTTCTAGTGGTGATACATCCTTCCCTTGCCTTTGGGCCTCGTCTCTCGCGAGAAGTTTCGACTTAGAATCACCGGCGCTGATCATTAGGGAAATACCTCATCCCTTAAGAGGTTGATACCAATCCGATAATCAGTCTCCGGCCATGTGTCAGTGGAAAAAAGGGTTGTATCAGAATAAAGTCGAAACTAATATTCAGCACCACCATAGCGTCCTAATTCCGAGGAACGGAATGCAACGACCTAATCGGCTCGAAATACTACATCTAAAAGGAAGGATCTTGGGTTGTACTCGGACATGGCTCGTAGTATTTCTATCCCGAAGCCCATTTGTGTTCCACATCAGGGACCCAATACATAGACCAGGGTGGGTTACGTTGAATACCGGGAGGGTAGGAGATTGTGTTGGAAATCTGGAGGGGTGTGGGCTACTTCGAATCTAGATTTCCTTCGAACTGTTCTCGTCTGCGTCATATCAAATGTTAATTATGATGGGCAATGGCATAATCTACTCATGAATCCATGCTCTGGGTTATATTTGCCTTGCGATGTAAGGCAAAAAGCAAGGCAGGGTTCTCTCACAACATCACAGCCAATTGAAGGGGCTTATTGCTTCTATGATGCATAACCTTTGATATACGTGTTTTAGTATGGCAAGCACTATAAGGATAGTAGCTCGGTGACTAGTCGATTTGCAGTTACACACATGCCGGCATGGGTTGAACTAGTGTTGAACAAAGTTGGTTAATAATGTCTTCCGAGTCCAAGCTGGAAATACTTGCCTATTATCTTTCTTCATGATTTCCAAAAACACGGTCAGGGAGCCAGTCACGTACCTGTCATTCATCCGGTTGCGGAGGACTTCGGAGGAAATGTCTTTCTTGCATCTCGCAGAACCGGGGTATGTAGGTACATATTGTGTGTAGATTTGGCCTAAACGCCAATTTCGCATGAATTTGATCGATAGTAAAAGGCGATACACTGCGATAGCAGACCTCAAACCATAGTTCAACCTTTGCTTTGTCTGTTCTGCAGCCATCTTGATCCAGTCTCTAACTACCTATCATTCGACTAAAAATGAGTTCACAAACTGGACAAGGACAATCATCATGCAGAAACCCCGAGGACGATTTCGGAGAGCCAATTGCGGTCATTGGTATGGCAATGCGGCTACCAGGCGGAGTTCGATGTGGAGATGAATTTTGGGAAATGCTCGTGAAGAAACGGGATGGGTTTTGTCAAGCGCCTCCTTCGCGGTGCTCTAGAGAAGCATCTAGTAGCCCTGATTGTGGAGACCTGAGCGACACGAAAAAAGGGTTCTTTTTGCAAGAAGATCCAGCTTGTTTTGACGCTTCCTTTTTTTCCGTTCCTCCCCACGAGGCGGCGCGCCTGGACCCCCAGCAACGGCTCTTGCTGGAGGTGGTTTGGGAGTGCCTGGAGAACTCGGGGGAGACCAAGTGGAGGGGTGAGAAGATCGGTTGTTTTGTTGGAGTTTTTGGCGAGGATTGGCTAGAAATATCGCATAAAGACCCCCAGCATCTCACTCAGATATACCCCATCGCCACCGGTGGTTTTGCGTTAGCAAACCAAGTGTCATATCGGTTTGATCTCCTGGGTCCGAGGTGAGTGCAGTCCGCCCTCTTTATGTCAGAAAGCTCTGACCCCTTAAAGCATGACCATACAAACGGCTTGCTCTTCGTCCCTGGTCTGCCTACATGAGGCCTGCCAAGCACTTCGGTCTGGAGACTGCTCGACAGCCCTAGTGGGCGGGACAAGCCTTATGTGGGGCCCAACAATGACAGATGCAATGACCAAAAATATGGTTTTGTCGCCAAGTGGTATATCTCATACCTTTGATGCTGAGGCAGATGGCTATGGTCGTGGTGAAGGGATTAACTGCATTTATCTCAAGCCATTGCGAGATGCGCTTGGTGACAACGACGCTATCCGCGCCGTCATCCGCTCCACAGTGACCAACCACGACGGCAAGACCCCTAACTTTTCTCAACCGTGTCCTATATCTCAAGAAAAGTTAATTCGACACGCATATCATATTGCAGGAATTGATGCTATCCACGAAACACCTGTTTTTGAATGTCATGGGACAGGGACAGCTGTCGGCGATGTCATTGAAGCAACCGTCGTTGGAAAAATGACCAAAGGAGAAGCAACATATATAACTGCTGTTAGTATACCTACTCAAAACGCCGACTCCACCCAAACTCATTACTTATGTTGTACATTTCACAGGTCAAACCAAATGTCGGCCACTCTGAGGGTGCCTCGGGCATTACAAGCATCATCAAATCCATATTATCCCTTGAACACAAGATCATCGCCCCCAATATTCATTTCAAGAAGCCAAATCCCCAAATCCCATTCACCGAGGCAAATCTCCACGTTCCCCTAGAGCCGACTCCGTGGCCTGCTGGCAGGCCTGAAAGGATCAGCGTAAATTCGTTCGGTATCGGGGGATCCAATGCCCACGCTATTCTGGAGTCCGCCTCTGCGATCTCTTTGAAGTCTCAAGCCAGCTCGCTTGGTATTTCCAACCCACAGCTTTTGCTACTTTCTGCGCACACTGTGGACACTCTTCGCAAACGCATCAGCCAGATCACCGACTATGTAAAGAAGCACCCAGATTGCCTGTATGATCTTTCGTACACTTTGGCGACCCGAAGATCGCATTTACTCCACCGGGCCTTTGCCGTGACGCAGCCAAGTAACCCAATTTTAGATGATGCGGCGTTTTCACTATTTAATACCAGTTCACCAAATGTCACATTTGTGTTCACAGGTCAAGGAGCTCAATGGCCCAGAATGGGTCTGAGGCTTTTGTCTGATTTCCCAAGATTCAAGGAGAATATCATTGCGATGGATGAAGCGCTCCAAAAACTATCCGATGGCCCGAATTGGTCTTTATCTGGTCAGAGAGAAGGCCCTACACCTGATATTACGGGAATATCTTGACTAACGTACCTGCCAGATGAACTCAGCCAAGAAATTTCGATTTCTCGTGTCCATGAAGCCGAGTTCTCTCAGCCGCTCTGTGTTGCACTTCAGATAGGTCTGCTAAATATTCTGAGGAGCTGGGGAATTGAACCAACCACAGTCGTCGGGCATTCGAGTGGAGAGATTGTGGCCGCTTATGCTGCCCGAGCCATTTCGATGAGGACTGCTATCATTCTAGCATATTACCGGGGAAAAGTGGCACAACCGCTGGAAGGCTTAGGTGCTATGGTAGCCGTTGGCCTTTCCCCGGACGAAGTCGCACAATACCTGACACCTGGAGTGGTTGTTGCCTGCCACAACAGTCCACATAGTGTCACCTTATCAGGAGACAATGACTCGGTTGACCGTGCAATCAAAAGCATTAAGGATGCAAACCCAGAAACCCTTTGCCGGCGGCTGACAATTAAAATTGCTTATCATTCCGGTAAATTGTCCCTCTACGCCCTGCTGTGGTCGATTTAGGCTTACGGTATTCGCAGCCCATATGAAACAGATTGGCTCCGAATATGAGGATCGCATCTGTACCCATATTGAACATGAGCAAGGAATGATTCCTTTCTATTCTAGTGTGACTGGTGACACAATCACCGACCCTTCCAGACTAGATGCATCATACTGGCGACGGAATCTGGAATCACCGGTGCTTTTCACCGAGGCTATCCAGAATCTACCTAATAGTGGAATCCCGGTTTTCTTAGAAATTGGGCCGCATTCAGCCCTCGCCGCTCCTCTGCGACAGATATTTCGAACTCTGGCAGCACGGTCGCCGGTCTATATTCCCACCCTGTTTAGATATGACGAAGACGTTCAAGGGCAACTGCTGCGAACAGCTGGACAGGCTTATGCAAATGGCTTGGAAGTCAATCTATCAAGCATTATTAAGCCTGGGAAGATGTTGACGGACCTTCCACCTTATCCTTGGCAACATGATCGTCCCTACTGGAGTGAGAGTCGACTGAGTCGGGAGTGGAGGCAGCGCAAGTTTCCGCATCATGAAATACTCGGTTCACGAGTCGTGGATACCGCCGATAATGAGCCTTCTTGGCGCAATCTAGTCACGCTGGACAATGTGCCCTGGCTTATGGATCATGTAATCCAAGGAACGGTCACATTCCCAGGCGCTGGATTTGTCGCTATGGCAGGCGAGGCTGTCCAGCAGCTGTATCCCGAAAACGATAGTTATTCAGTGCGTAATACAACATTTATAACGCCACTGCTATTCCACGAGGGAGATCAGATCGAAATAGTGACCAGCCTGAGCCCAGTTGAAGTAGCCGACAGAGTCCAATCAGGCTGGTATGGCTTCAAAATCATGGTTCACGACGGAGAACGATGGACTATGCATTGTCAGGGTCAAGTAAGAGCAGGCTCTGATCATCCACCAGAGGTATTTCCTATATCTTCCTATAACCGAGCTGTGCCATCTGAAAGTTTTTACCGAGTGCTTCAAAGGAGCGGGATAGAATACGGCACTCAGTTCCAGGGCCTAGAGCAGATTACGGCCGATCCCACCGGGCCAAGGGCAACTGCAACCGTTATAGGTAACCGCGGGCTGCGTGGGAGCAGGTATTCGCTGCATCCCACGGCCATTGATCAATGCCTCCAACTTATGGGTGTGGCCTGTTCCCAGGGATTGCTGCGGCATCTCACAACGATATATGTGCCGGCTATGATAGACTCGTTGTTTGTCAGTCCAGGGGGTCCACCTATGCCAGGAAGCGCCCGAACCAAGAGGGGTGTGAGGGATGGCCAGCTAGGCGATGCTATTGCCATGCTTGGTGATCGAGTGGTTCTCTCTATTCAAGGAGCTTACCTTTTTGCCTTGGAAAATGATAACATAGATTCTGGAACTGGAGTTACGAGCTCAGTAAGCCACCTTCAGTGGAAACCGGACATTAATCTTTTGCCGCCAGCAGCACTCTTGTCTACACCACCGGATTCCACATCCCAGGCCATGAATATTAAAGCCCTCGGCCAGATATCCGCGCTTTTTGTTCTCGAGACAGTGGAGAAAATTCGAGATGTCGACCCAATTTCGTCACATTTCGCAAAATGGAAGAATTTTATCCTGAGCGCAGCTGCCGATATCAAAGCAGGTGGACAACAATATATTTACCCAGAATCGTCTCAGTGGGCCTCGCGAAGCTGTGCAGACAGACAGGAAATGATACGGAATGTGTTAGCAGAGACCAAATTTACCTTTGATGCTCCACTTGCGGATTGCTTGCAGGTCGTCTTTGATCACTGCGTAGCATTTACATCTGGAGAAAGCAGTCCATTGGAGGTCCTCATGAAAGACAATCTGCTGCACAACTTTCATGCTGCTCACACACAGTATGCTGACTGGAAGCCGTTCCTACCGTTACTTTGCCACTCCAATCCAGGCCTACGAGTACTTGAGATTGGTGCGGGAACCGGCTCTGCAACTGCCATGGCCCTAGAGCTTCTCAAATCCACTAATGGGGAGCGTATGTATGGACAGTATGTTTTTACTGACATCTCCTCAGGCTTTATGGCTGCGGCAACAGAGAGATTCGGCCATGAGCAGTGTATGGAATACAAAGTTCTCGATATCACCATAGATCCCCGCGAACAAGGGTTTGAACCTCAGAGCTTCGACTTGATCATTGCATCCAATGTAAGTCTTTGGCTAGAAGGCCTTAGCCTAAATACGTTCAGCTCACCTACTCCATCAGGTTCTCCACGCCACCCCCAATCTTCACTCCGCACTGTGTCATGTGCACTGTCTTTTAAAGCCCACCGGACGCTTTTTGCTTCATGAAATTAGCCCAGGTATGTCACAGTGCTCAGTTTTGAAGCGTTGAACTGACTCGACCGTAGAAATTCTAATTGCAAATTTCACCATGGTAGGTGTCAGCCTTTTCTTTAAAGAATCTATCTCCGTTTAGCTTATATAATTCATAGGGTGTCTTTCCCGGCTGGTGGCTGGGAGAAGATGATGGTCGAGCAGTGCAGCCATACATCTCGCCCGAGCGATGGGATCGAGAGCTACGAGCTGCAGGTTTCACTGGAACAGATGTGGCCGCTTACGATCAAAAACCGCCATATCATATCTCCGCCAGCATGCTATCACGACTGGAGGAGCATAATCCCCTTCCTACCGATGTCTGGCTCCTAACAAAGAGTTCTACCCAGTGCCAGTGGGCGAGAGATGTTGAATCACTGTTCCGCGAAAGAGGCCTCACCACTCACTGGACAACCTGGCACGAAGCACCACCCAAAGGAAAGTTCATCCTGTCCCTGCTGGATGTCGAAGGATCTCCGATAGGTTCCCTGCCGAAGACTGATTATGGAGTATTACAACGATACATAGAGCAAGCACAAGAATGCCAACTTCTATGGGTCACACAGTCAACCTCTCACAGCTGCTCGGATCCAATGTTTGGCTTCGCCCATGGGCTCGCCCGCACTTTACGCGCAGAGCTTTTGCTTGATTTTTCAATTCTGGAAATTCCTACGTGGGACACTGCGGGCGCAAAGGCTGTAACACAAGTGTGCGAGAAAATACAGAGATCCCGCGCACTGTCCCTTCCTGACCCAGAGTATGAGTTTGCATTGCATCGTGGCGAGATCCAGGTCGGCCGGTACCACTGGACGCCTCTAGTTGAGCAACTTGCAAGTCCACCTCGCTCAGATTCGTCCCGAAAGCTGACTCTCACGGCATATGGACTACTGGATACGCTACACTGGGCCGAGAAAGAGGCATCATATGAGTTAGATAATGGGGTGGTTGAAGTTGAGATGGACTATGTGGGACTGAACTTCAAAGTATGTTGCCGTAGTTCCAAACTAAAGTTATCTCGCTCGCTAATTAAGAAACCCCAGGATATGATGGTTGCAATGGGCTTCTTTGGAAACAAAGAAGACCTTGGACTCGAAGGCAGCGGTATTGTGCTCCAAGTCGGAGCTGATGTGACCGATATTGCAGTGGGGGATCGTGTCATGTTGATGCATTCTGGTGTTCTGGCTTCAAACGTTATAGTACCGCAAGAAGCTTGTATCAAGCTCCCGACGGGGTTGTCAATGGCAGATGCTGCCACGATGTTAACAGCTTATGTCACTGTTCTCTATTCACTGCTCGAGATTGGTGCTTTGAAGAAGGGCCAGGTAAGTCAGGATTGTGGTCTTCGACAAATGATAGTGACTGACACAATGACAGTCCGTCCTTGTCCATTCTGCGTGCGGTGGAGTTGGACTAGCTGCTCTCCAAGTATGCCAGGCTGTTGGGACTGAGGTCAGAGGATTCCTCTATGGTAAACATGGTTGTGGGGAGCTAATAATATGTCAATTAGATATATGCAACCGTCGGCAACGATAAAAAGGTAGCCTACTTGATGGAGAATTTTGCTTTACCTCGAGAACGCATATTCAACTCCCGCAACACGTCCTTCCAGCCGGACTTGATGCGTGCCACTGGTGGACGGGGAGTTGATCTGGTGCTTAATTCACTATCGGGTAACTTACTCCATGCTTCGTGGGAATGCGTTGCAAAGTTTGGTCGAATGGTTGAACTAGGAAAACGTGACTTTATAAGCCATGGCATGCTCAATATGAGTCTTTTCGAAGCTAACCGAGCATTTTTCGGTGTTGACCTCGCACAGGTCTGCAAGGAGACACCAGATATTCTCAAAAGGTCTGTCTGTGCTAGGCCCTCAGGGAGCGAGGGCTAACTAATGCATCGCAGCACCCTGGCAACATTTTCAGACTGGTATCGTCAAGGGAAAATTGGACCTATCCATCCTGTCAAAGTCTTTGACGCGGCCGACATAATCAGTGCATTTCGGTATATGCAGGCAGGCACTCATCTAGGTAAGATATTAGTGCGTATGCCTTCCTCGGTGGAGAGCTTGCCCCCTCCGGCTGTGAAAACATTTCCGTCATTCCGACCTGACGCCGCTTATCTACTCATTGGTGGGCTCGGTGGTGTTGGGCGATCTGTATCAACATGGATGGTCGAGCAGAATGCACGAGAACTCATCTTCCTCTCGCGGTCAGCTGGAAAATCTGAGGGGGATCAAGCATTTATCCGCGAACTTGAAGCGCAGTCTTGCCGAGTCTTGTGTGTGGCAGGCAATGTGACAAACCTCAACGATGTGAAGGAGGCTGTTGCCGCATGCACGCAGCCCCTTGCTGGTGTTCTCCAAATGGCAGTTGACTTGAAGGTAAATTCTTCTCACCCTTGCTCATCCTACCAGTTTGCTTGGCGTAAAATCTCTGACGCCATATTAGGATCGACTCTTCCTGCAGATGAGCCACGAGGAGTGGGAAGCCGCACTGGCTCCAAAAGTTACAGGAACCTGGAACCTCCATCATGCCACAGCACAATGCTCATTAGATTTCTTTGTCGTGTTTGGCTCAATTGCCGGGGTGTGTGGTAACACTGGCCAGGCCAATTACGCTGCAGCAACTACATTTCTAGAAGCGTTCACACGATATCGACGGCAGCGGGGACTTCCTTCTTCTATCTTGCACCTAGGAGTGGTTGGAGATACGGGTGCTGCAAGTCGCAACTCCCGATTCCTCCAGAGAGTACAATCGATCGCGCTGCAGGTACTCCATGAAGGTGAAGTGATTGATGGACTTGCTGCAGCTATCAACATATCCCCGGTTAGTAGTTCCAACATGAGCGGAGTAATAGCAATGGGACTCGCACACACAAGGCGGCGCGCCGATCTTCCTAAGGAAATCTTCCTAGGTGGGCGCGACGCTCGATTTTCAATATACCCTAACCTTGAGTCTAAGAGTGCTGGCCCTGGTGGGGACCAATCCACTCATGCGAATGCGTTGAAAGCACTCCTTGCCCTAATACAAGCAGATCCCTCGTTAACGGGCAAAAAGGAGACTGAGGTCGCCTTGATGAGAGAACTGGGCAAGTTTATCAGTCACAACCTTACAGGGCAGGCGCAGGAGCAGGGCTCAGATACCGCAGATGACACTGAGGCAATGGCGGGCATGGCAGTAGACTCCCTCATGGCCATAGAGGTTAGAAATTGGCTGCGAAGGTCTCTGGGCGTGGAAATCCCTACAGTGGAAATCAACCGAGCAGGTACATTAGGAGGTTTGGTAAAGGTCGTTTTGAAGGGTCTTGGAGAGAAATATGATCAGCGTGCTACCTAAAACGCTTCTGCGGGCCAGTTGCTATTAGATGGCTAGACAGAATCTTGATATGCAACTTCGGAAAATGATTTGAAGCTGTGACTCCCATGAAAAAGTTCTTTACCACCGGGAACTATTTAGCTAAACTACTTGCATCATGCTATCCAAATTCTTACATGCCGACATAGGTCTCCTTTTCTAATCCTTGACCTGACAATAGGACTAGCTGCAGTCACGGCTCATTAGCTTCCCAGGCGCTTGATTGGATTCTTGTTGGACTCTTTATTGACGATGGTAGGGTGTGGTACAAGACCCAACTAGGTTCTCTGTACGGGAAATTCCCCAATGCCTGGCCCTCCGCAAATCCCACAGATGGGTCCGGATGCCAGGCCCAAAGCGCACTGGGAGTTGGGCTTTGGGCTTAACTTTTGAAGCCCAACTCGATTCATAGCCAATTCGTGAGGGCCTACAAGGCCCCTAGTATAGCCTATCTAGGGGGTTGAACTAGGATCCTGTAATCGCTAAATTCTTAAACTTCTACTGATTGGATAGATTTGAAGTTGGGAATGTATAATCTCAATCACTATCTAGGTGCATATTCTAATTTTGAATAAAATCGAGCCAGTGAAATTCGAAAAGGTTTTACACAAATATTGTACTTCAACATCAGATATATATTTTCAATCTTCTCTGGAGCAATACGAGCACTATCATCGAAGAGGATTAGGTAGTGTGCATATAGGGCTTTTGTCGTGTTAACAGGGTATACCAACAAAAGTCGCAGAGGCCAAGTAGTACTGCTATCCATAGTGTCCAGTATGATGAAGTCATACCTTCTACCTCACTCTAGATTCGTTATACGGCAGTAGTATGATGTTTCTAAAATTCTCTCTCTGAGATCGACAATGCTGTGATACTCATTTGATTAGTATTGAAGCTCACAGACAACCAAGACGTCATCCACTGCGGGATATACCGCTTTAGTGTCCTGGGAGTGGTATAAAACGGGCCAAAAAGCCTTGGTCTCGATAGATTCATATCAATCCCATCATATCCTAGTAGAACTGCCCTATTGTTCAAAAAAGCTGGACAGTCTTCAATCATCCACGATGCCTTCTATCACAGAAACTCACCGGAAGCTTCTCGGCACCTGGGCCCTCGTTGAATACAAAGCTATCGACACCGAGACCGGCCATGTTAGCCATCCTTTGGGCCAAAATGCCCAGGGTTTTCTCATGTACAGCGCAGACGGATTTGTGTCTGCCCACCTCATGCAGCCTGGAGCGCCAGCTTTCTCTGGCAAGGATGTCGAACGAGCTACGCAGGAGGAGCTCTCCGGGGCCATGAAGCACTACATGGCTTATTGCGGCCATTACTACCTGGAGGAGGTAGACGGAGGGATTCTGCTCAAGCACAACATGGAAGTCTCCTTATTTCCCCACTGGCTTGGAAACGAGCAAGGGCGCTTAGTCACATTGAACGGTGACAATCTGGAGCTCAACACTGCTAATTCGTATCTCGTTGATGTATGTCCTGCCTCAACTTCTCTACTTCACTCACTCTCTGCTTTCTCATGATATGTAAGCTTACACATTTTCATCTTAGGGCCAGTGCGTGCGCGGGTCAGTTAAATGGCAAAAGGTACAGTCAATAGCCGCTAATTGATACCTTTCGGGCCCAAATGGCTTTCGCGTGGGTGATTCAAGGTAGTTTTGTTCAATTGCTGTTGTTCATAAGATACAATGATCGTTGGATTCGGGTCTTTTTCGGGGCCCTGAAGTGTATTGGTGATACCACCACCCCAATCTTGCCGCCACCATTAGATCAGCGCCTACACAGTTTGGACTCTACAATCATATAGCTGAGATAGATATATAAGATCAGGGAAATTGTTTCCAGCTCACAGTTCCACCATCATGCCGTGATTCTAGCGTTGCGGCACTCTGAAAACCGACACCTATGCCATCTCCAATGTTGCAAAAGGTTCTTTCAGTATCATTGGCATCCTATCGATTGTGGAAATCTGCTCTGTATAGCGATATCGCTCCAGTAGAACTATTTTCGAATACCATGCAGAGTAAAGTCAAGGTAGATTAGACCAATTTGATTATTCCAATCCAGAGTAACACAGGGAGGCGTTCTACAGAGTTGATCGCCCCAACTTCTTTCTGTATACAGAAACTTGTGCATTGAGATTTGATCAAATAGTTGAGAACACTCGGGATGTTTTCCCATGTTCGTCTTCTGCCCGTTATTTTCCGCTGACGTTGTACATATGCGCATGTGCTGTGCCCCCACACTTACACATACGGGGAAATAAATGCAGTTGAGGAATTGCCGTTAGATGATAGATCACGTAGTGCACAACAGGTCTGCTTGATATGGATTCATCTTGATGCGTTCACTTGTTGCTCGATCTATGACTACTGATGTGTCAACTCATCTACCTCGGAGTATCCACATACTGGAACACGGGCAAAGACCAGGGATTGTGAAAAGCACATTATGAACCTTCTAAGGTTGAGTAGAACACATAACTTATGAAAACAACGGAAGATGGCCATAATGCCAACCCACCCTGGGTATCATTTGTCTTGAAATTTCACTATACTACCAATTATGTCAAAACTATATCCATGGACCATCGTCACATACCACCATCTTACAATTCACCCATGTGCCACAGAATGCACACTTTTCTAGAGTCCCAACGTAATTCCAGCTCAAGCCCATTTTCCGAGCAAAGCCATGATACCAGCACCAAGGATCATAGTCAGGACCATGAAAGCCAACCTCTTGTTATCCTGAGTGCGGTGAGGATCAAACAAGAAATCACGAGCAAGCAGTTCAACAAGTCCAGTGTATAGCAAGATCCCAGCCGAGATAGAGTCCAGCACACCGGAGACAACGTTTGCAGTGAAAGACCCAGGGTTGTAAGTCGTGCGCAAGCCAAGGCCAATAGCAATGGCAATCGGGGTCGTCAGTCCATAAGCAGCACACAAGAACCAAGGCAACCAGCTCCCCTTTTTAAATGGGATACTCGACATGCGCGCCCCAATACCAAGCCCTTCAAACGATTGATGGAAGACCAGAACAGGGTATAGCGTAGCAAACTCGTCACCCGCAACACCAAGATTGAGACCAATAATGACAGAATGGAAGATAACACCAAACTCCAGGATCAACAGAGCGGCAATTTGTTGCTTGACCGAGCGCTCAATTGCTAGCTCCTGAGTCTGCGACTCGATTTCCTTGACTTGCTTGTCGGCCGAGTGGCGTGCAGAAGGACGCGAGTCCACACGCCTTACTTCACCTCCGCTCGCCATCATTGGCTCTGGGTCTTCGCGACAGATGCCATACTTTATCTCGACCCAGCGCTCGGCTCCAAAGTCCATGAGGAAGACGACCATCAGCGATGTCAATACGATTGCTGGACACCACGAGTAGTCTGCCCAGTGGCCGCTCAATCCGACGCAGGAGTTGCCACCGATCTCATCATATGCGGGATCGAGGAGGTGGATGAAGGCTGTTGCGATAATCACGCCAGCTCCAAAGTACTTTGCAAAGAGATACACGTATATCGGGATACGAAGGCGTGGTGCACGTTGTGCGAGCACAGGGAAGAAGGTCGCTGCTGAGGAGACAATGAGAATCACAAAGATGGCGGAAATGCGCGCGCCTAGTTGGCCGTTGTATTCGTTCCCCTCGGCGTTAAGGTAACAAACAATTTCAGCGGCATCTGCTGTATCCAAGTCGACATTGTGAGGATCAAAGGACATCTTGGTGAGTGGTGTGTGTTATAAATTGTCCCCCAACGTTGAATGAGAGGAAGAGTGGCCTCTGTGATATCAAACCGATGCAAAAGCTGGAAAGGAAATGAACACGGCGACTTTGACTTACAGAAATTTCAAGAATTGTCCGCCTGTTTTATATCGGAGAAAAAGAATAGGCACCTTCGGGTCCTCCGTTGCGTTGAGGACCTTGGGACGTTTCGGCCCCGATTATATTAGCTTGATATTAGCTTGCGCTCTTCGTCGGGGGCTACAGTGACAAGGCTATTTAGCCACCTTAGGGTCTCTTATACCCCTATATTCTTTTATTGATGTTCAAAAATCTTCGTCTTGATGGTGTGTTTCTATTTCCCCGAGAACTTGGTGTTTCTATGCTCCTTGCTAGATATCAGATGCCCATCCGGGAGCGTCCATCAGCCCTACGCAGAAATCAAGCCTTGGAGAACTGCTTGTCAAAGCTTGGAACGTTGCAAGCATTTGACGCAAGCCTTGTCATGGGCCAAATCCCATGGCAGTGATTGGATGCTAGGACCATGAGTTGCCCCCAAGGTCCTTCAATTAAGATTACGCGTGGGTCGAAACCACACCACATTTTTTTATCGAGGAGATATTACTTAAAAGGGCAGGTAGTGTCTAGTAGCTTGAACTCAGATGTCATTTCATGATTGCATATTTTTATCTAGAGGAAGAGGTGGTGGGTAATATCAACATGTTGACCAGATATCTCCGATCCACAGATATACTTCCGTTATTAGACTCCGAAATAATGTACTGAGTCGGTTAGAACAAAGCCAATAGTAGGCAAAACAATAGCAGTCAGATCTCACGAGCGCTTCATGTCGCGTGTTGAGATATCACATTGTCATATTTTAACCACAATCGTGGGCGTTGCAGCCAGCCATTTGTGGATTGACCACAAAATCGCTCAAGCTAAGACAACCTTGCAAGCTAAGTCCAGAGTCTAGACTTGACCTTCCAAGACCTAAAAAGAGCTGAGGATAAATGGTCATTTGAAAACAAGAAAAAGCAAGTTCATCCAGCCCGAAAGCACAAGGCCATCCCATCCCATCCCATTCCTAATGCCTGACACTGTCCCGGCCCAGATCGCTAAATAGTAACATAAACATAAAACATAGATCATAAACAAGTCATAATAAGCACAGTTGAAAGCAATCCTCACATGCCAGGTTTCTTCATAACTCGTTTCGTTTCTCGTACCCCATGCGCAAGATCTCATCCCAGCTTGGAGAGAGGAGCCCAGGTCCGTACACATAAACACATAATCAAGGTTTCCACCCTGTCGTTCGTATAATATATTCCCTCCCATCATCAAAACAAGAAACAGAAACACGCTCCGAAGCCAATCGCTAAAATCATCTCGCTGAACAAAGCCCTGTGCCCGAGTTAACCTGACCCTGGGACCAACCTGGAAAAAAAATCAAAACATTGAAAATTATATCAAGAAAGATACACAAATAATAGAAGAATCAAAAGTGTTGCGTGATCTATCGTTGCACGCTATGGTTTCAAGGACCATTGCTAGCCCATATTTTTGAAGAAGAAGAAGAAGTTGAAGAAGTTGAAGAAGAAAAAGGGCTAGATCAAACAACAATCCTAAGCAGGATGTCACAAGAACTGCAAGAAAGGTAGAAGAAAGGAATCGCAAGAAATACGGTCGTGTCGAAAATCGCAAGTCTAATACCGCAAGGAAGTCCTCAAGGGTAGAAAATACCCTCCACCTTAACGGAAGTATCGTATTCATGAATGTTCACCATACGTTGGAAGTCCTGAACAACCTTCTCAGGCATACAGTCCCACAACAATGATCTGGAATGCACACCCGACGACAGGGCGGAGTGCATGCGAGTCCGCTGCGCGGTGGTATCGCGCATCGCAGCAAACGCCTGCTGCAAGGTAGACGGCTTCTGTGACTTGAAATCCCCACTGTGGTCATCAAACGTCGTCAGAGCGTTGTACTGGTCCACGTTCATGGAGAAGTCCTGGTCGCGCTCCTGCTCCTCTGTCGGCATTACAAGCGTGTTATGCAGCTGGTCTAGATTTGATGGCAGGGGCTGTACAGAACTCATTTGCGCCATCTCCATGCCGCTGATTGTTGCCGGCGAAGGTCCGGTTGTTGTTCCATGGTTGATGGAGTGTTGGTGGGTTATCTCGTGACCTGATGAGGAGGCTAGAACTGCCTTGAGCACGTTGGCAGATTCGGCCCGGTACTCTTCGGATAATTGGGGTAGGGGGCGGCCCAGTAAGGACGTACTGTTTGAGGCACAGAAGGCACCAAGAAGCAGGAACATGCAGAAGGCATTCCAGTTGACCGGCAGGTCTGATCCGTTTGTGGATTTCTCCGGAACCTTGACCTGCTGGTTACCCTGAGAACGGGGGGGCTTGAATGCCATCTGGTTGCAAGGACGGTCCAGTAACCATCGAGAAGCCGTCCCATGATGTGTTTTCCATAGTGGGGTTCTCGAAGTTGGTGAACTCGCCGGGCCGGCTTTCTTGAGCGACTTTGGCGCCGTGCTCGAGCTGTTTAATTCTCTCCTCCAGGTGCCTGTTTCTTTTCAAGAGATTGGCTGTCTCCCGCGTATGTGTGACGATGATTTCGTCTTTCTCAATGTCCTGACGCTGAATATGCTCTGCCAACTGCATATTGTAGTCAATCAATTGGCGGTTCTCATACTCCAGGTTTTCCCTTGCCCTTTGCGTGTTCTGGATTTCCTCTTTCAGCGCCTCGATCATGGCGTCCAGTTGCTTGATCCTTGCGTTGAACTCGCCGATCGTTGCTTCCAATTCCTTAATCTTCTCCACATGACCCTCGGCTTCCTTTTTCTTGCGTTGCCGGGAATGAAGCCTATTGCAATAAAGTTAGCATTTAATCCGACTCAATACATTGATCTCAACTAACGCTGCACATCGATTCCGCAGCAGTCGTTTGATTGCCTTCAGGTTCTTCTTTTCCTCCTCATCAGTGCAATTCCGGATTGCCTCGTCGATGTTGTCCAGATTCAATTCGGGGGAGATTGGGATGCGAGAATTCCTCTTCCGAACGCCATCCCCCGGTGCGCCGGCAAAGCAACCCGGTAGTTTGGGCTCTTTCTTGAGTGTAGCTCTGCCTCGGCCATGTCCATCGGAGCCGGCATCCAGCCCTGGCTTGATTGCGGTGACATGGCGACACTTCCGGGAGTCGCGAATGCCATACCTCCACGGTATGACATAGAGTTCGCGGGCATAGCGCCGACAGGTCCAACTGCACCACCAGAGAAAGGAGTGATGGCACTCTGATCTCCATTGGCAGCATAGTTATCATAGTTCACGGTCGGGGTGCATGAGCCTGAATCCGTGCGCGGCATCGACCATGATGCCTGCGGGTAGGAAGTTAATTGCGGGCCATCAACGGGCATGAAGGAGGCGCCCGTTGAGTTGAGCATGCCGTGCCCGAGCTGCGAATGCGAATTTGACTGTGACTGGCCGGAACTGGTATTCGAGTAGTTGGACCAGACGGAATCGCGATGTGAGTAGGGTGGGTCGTCGTAGGAGGCGCGGCGGTTGTTGGCAAGGTCTTCGGAACTTGGGTCCAAGATCTTCTCATCCAGCACGCTCATATCGTCGTCTTCCAGTGTCACATCTAATGTTGATGGTGATTGTTGGTAGAATTCCGACTGGTAATATTGTGCCATCATGAAGAGGCGGTGTGTGTGTTTGAGAGGGGTGGGGCGGGGGAAAGAGGTTGATTTATAGAGAAATAGGTGTAGAAGTTGAATCAAAACAGTAGGTAGCAGTGTAGAAATGAAGATGAATATGACGATATAATTGTGCAGAGGGGGGAAATATGCTGTGATCTAGTTCCGGGGGGAAGCAGGCTATGTATGAGCAGATGCAGTGCTCGTGCGGTTGACATTGTACCCACAGGTACCGAGTACCCATGTGGGTGATGGAGAACAGGCTGTCGATCAAGTACCCAGTACTCATCCAGCGGTCTGCGCGGGAGTGCAAGAGTGGCTCCCGGGGCAGCATCTCCGTTATTGGCTGCATTGTTTTGCTTGGGCAGACCTGCATCTGGTGTTGTTTGATGATTTTGGTTGGTATTTTGGTTATTTAGCTTGATATTTCTCGCTAGGCGTTATATTATTTTATAATTTTTTTTCTGGCACTTTTTTCTCTTTTTTTACGTTGGTTTTTATGATCCAGCCTCGATGATAATGCTGTCAGTTATTCGTATGTAGTTTACTGGTATGTGGTATTAACCGGCTATGCAGCGTTAGTACGAAGTATGCAAACCATGTAATGTTCAACGTTGTATCGAGGATTACTGCCCCTTTTTCCTCCTGTATAATGTACTCCGAAAACCCGAAGCCATCACAAAAGAAAAACATCAAGTGGGGGAAATCAGACGCTGGGCTTATCGATAGACGATAGCCTATCGATCGATCCTCGTTCCGCCGGCTTGAGACAATCCTTGTCGTGGGGAGTGTATGGTCTGTGCTATACCTTATTCACGGCGCTTACGTAGAATACTAAGTGCTACTTGGAACTTGGCCTGCACATCTACTCAAACTAAGTATGTTCAAGTACCTTTCGGTACCGTTTTTGGACTAAACTCATCACCCGTGAATGGTCAGATGTCCAGTTTAGATGTCATCCTCCTTTCTATCCGCCGCTAACAGCCAATCATTCCCGAGTCAGTGCGACGATCCCTTTGGGCTGCGATCCACGGCGGTTTTATGTTTTGTTTTGTTTTTCTTTTCTTTGTTTTCGTCCTTATTTTGGGATTCCTCATTTCTTTTCCCCGTGGTGTTGGATGTTGGAAATAATGAATCTCTGGGACGGGCTCGGCCCGTCGAATCCACTGTTGGGCCGACCATGGATGAGGGAAGAAAAAAAGAAAAAACCAAGAAAAAGCACGGATGTCATGCACTGATCACTCGTCCCTTCCAGATGACGACCTCACCCCTCCAAAATCAAAATCTGTAGATGGAAATTCCTTGGAGGTTAGGGCTCTGACTAGAGTGAGAGCTTGGGTCCAAAATCCCACGCCTGATCTTGTCCAATCTTGCCGTGATCTACTTGCAGCTCTTTCTGCAGCTCCCATATGGCTGAAGTAACCATCTTTCTAACTCTTTCGGGCTCACAGACCACATTTAATCCATGATCGACTACATTGTATGTAGAGTACAGGGGCATGATGCCATCGTATTTGACGGGAGCCTTCCGGTTTGTCTCTACGCTGCGGGGTGAACACCCCCAATCTACTACCATTATTATTGTCCCAACATACCAGGATCTCGACACTATACCAGGATTAAGACTTGGGCTATCACTCAGCTGCTGTTGTCTTTTTTCCTATTTCCCCCTGGTTCAATAAGCCCCATGTCGAGCCTTGCCGCCCAAAGCGGTTTCCTGTTCCGGTAGATTTGTCTCGACAATTCCCCGGAGCACAAAGCCCCTTGGCGGCAACCCCTGAGTCTGTTCGCAGTCTATACATAGTACATACAATAGAGCCTGTGATAATGATAGGCCTGTCACCTAGGCGGCAACTCGGCGGGAGGAAAACTTGGCCCGGATAAGATCTGGCGGTGAAAAAGCCGAGTCTGTCCAATTGAGACCTAGTCTACCATCGGCCACCCCGTTCACTACTATATTAGTCATAAACAGCCTATCCTTTTCAGTGCAAGGTACCCGATGATATTTTCGTTTCTGCTCGCCAATAACGCGTTTACGTGCTACAGTGCAGTCATCTGAGAAGATGGGATCATTACCAGACTAGTATCTTCATGTACGGATTGATATTCCCAGTATCCCATACCTTGCCTAATGTGAGACTACGACACTTGCGTCCTTCCTGCGGTGAAGCTGAAACCACTGTTTTGCCATGTGACTCAGAATGAAACTGTTGATCTACCTTCTCTGAACAAGCTAGAAGGCCATGGCAGGTCCACCGCTCCACTTCCATTCTATTACTCATGTAGCCAATGGCCCACTTCTTCCACGGCTCCATACAACTTCAATACACCGTACGCTGTATGTGCCCAAGGTCTTCAATACATATGGTCAGTACAGGCTAAGCCGCGTATGATCTCAAAGCCTCACTTTGAACCGGTACCTGCCTGATATGCCGTGCACCGGGTACATTGGGCACATCAAATGGGGACAAGGCAGTGTCTAGGATTGGATGCGACTGGGCCATTAGATGTTCATTACTGGGCTCTTAGTATGCTCCACATGCCGAATCGGGGACTTGTTGACGTTTTTCGTGTTTGTAACCTGCCTATCGGGGAATCCGTCCTCCCTTGGACCCATCGTGGAAGGACACTTGATCTCTGCCGAGGACCTTCATTCACCGTTTTAATGACTCATTCTGTAGTAGGGCGAGATATGGATGAGAGGATTTGGGAGTTTCTGTCGCTTTCTGCGGTTATTACCAACCAACACGTCGTCAAAATGAGGTGGGCCAAGCGACTCACGATGATCGCAATATTGGGACAAAGAAGCCATTATTCAGTATCTCAGGTGGACTGAGTCACTATCTCTTCATACTGCTGTTCTCGTCCGAGAGACAGTGTCTCTCTGCTACTATTCTTACCCGATAGATTCAAATTCTTTTGTTCGGTGACGTTCATGCTCTTGGTATGAGTAGGCTTCTGCACTAAACCCTAACAGCAAATTTTAACGTGGTACAATGACTAGTTTCATGATTCAAAAAAGCTCAAGAGCCAAAACAACACCAGATAGTATTGATAGACAATGGTCGACATGTGTGGCTTGATTTTGCCGCCGACGCTTCCGACTGTTCGTGATACACAGAACCTATGTAAAAGTCTAGTGCACCAACAAGATAGATCACTTGGTCCCCAAGTAATCATGTACTGTTTATCCTGGCTATATCTAGACTGCCTTGCGTTGGGACAAGGAAGTGGTTGACTCTATCTGTGGTCACCTTCTCGTCGCCTTCTCTTGACATACTCACTACACGCCGTGGCGTTAATCACGATATCACATATTTGTGAATGTTTAAACTTGAGGACCGACTACTACCTACTATCCTAGCTACTCGTGATTTCGGTATCTCAGTCCCAGCTCACATGATTGCTCTTTCTCTCACACTGCATTCATTGCATATTCCCCTCAATGTCTGTACTCAACTTCAGGGCCCAGATATGATATCCCAATCACATAGGAAATCCTACATATATCCTACAGTAAACAGGTACGCAGATCATTCTAGGCCCTAGCTATGTCTCGCTCAGCCTGCTTTCAACATTGCTTCTGTGGCTTCACCAAGTTTCCCAGGCTGGGGGTCACCCCTGTAGGTCTCGGAAGGATATCCTGGGATGCGGATTTCAATATTGAGTTGCCTGCCACACGGGTCCATCTAGCTTGCGAATATCATACAATAATGAGGCTCATACATTCCTCGCGGTCACACAGCTCTCTACTTCATGTCACCAGTCATCAGGACATGGACCCTGCAGGTGTTTTCATCGCGGTCACATGGCTCGATGTGGGTTGGTTGCCGAAGTATACCCAACACTCTGTCAACAGATGCAGCTATGATAAAAAATAATATAGCATCTAAGGAACCAAGTACACGTGCTGGGGAACACTTGGGATTTTCAAATTCAGTTGAATTTTTCTTTTTCGATTTCTTTTCGGTTCTGTGCTATCGACATGTTTCCGGGGTATGGGCAAAGCAAACGAAATGCAAGAAAGAAAGCGCAAACTATCCAATCAACTACGAATGGCAGGATTTAGGATTTAGAAGCGGATGAAGTCTTGCTGCTGCGACATCTCGCCGCTATCCACACCTTCAATAATTTCTTCGGGAGAATCGTCGAACGCATCCGAGTCAATATCATCCGAATCAATAGCATCGTAGTTCTCTTCCTCGCTAGACGGGTCAGAGTCATCCTCACCCAAATCAGCTTTACTAGCAGCGGCCGCAGCAGCCTTGCGAATCTGGCCCGCGCGGTCAACGTGGGGCAGCTGGCAGCGCTTCTTGTTGCACGCGCCGGTATTGGCATAGTCTGGGCACTCGTGGACGTGCTTCTCTTCGCACGCATCGCCCTTTTCGCAGTATCCTAGTGTTGCAAAGGCGCGGCAGACAGGGGCACCTGGGGTCACGCGAATGTGGGCGTAGCGACATTCCGGGTTGGCGCAGCGTCCTCTAAGGAAATGCATACAGGTGGGGGAGCGGTGGGGCGAGGGCTCATGGGATAGATCACAGCTACTACCTGCGGCACATTGGCCTGTCTGGAGGAAGTCCTTGCATATAGCAACCTTACTGGGGTCATGGACGAACTGGCAGGTCGGGCCTTTGTAGCAGGTGCCTGGGAAAAGCAGACGTGTTAGTTCTTGGGCATGCTGATAGGGTGGAACATAGCAGTATGGCCCGTCGGAAAACAAAATACCGGTTGTTGTAAATCTTTTGCAGAGCTCATTGCGTTTCTTAACAGTAGGGTTCCTGTGGCAAGGTCAGTATCAAATTGACCATCGCTAGAATCAACACTCACTTCTTCGTAGTCACAGCACCGAGGCGGTGCAGGTTTCCATTTTTGCTTCGCACAAAGCACACATCGGCCACTTTGACACGCTTGGGGGTATTGTTGGCAGTACTGGGGTCATCTATGAAGGGTGAGCAAATTCGAGGTGGGGAGCGAAGAGGATACGCACTCGAAACACGAATCAATTTGCTTCCGCCGTTTGCGACCCTGAAAGCAACATTGTTGATAAGAATCTGATGGCCAGTTGCAGGGTTTGCAGCGGTGGAAACCGTTGCATTAGAACCTGGACCCTGTGCATAACGAAGTACTTTCGCTTGTTCGTATTCGGTCTTCTTCTGTTCTCTAAGCTTGCGCGTTCTTTCTATATCCTTCGACCTGTCCTGTGTTTTCCGATCGTAGACGGCAGGGTTGATCAACTGCATGTGGCGATCGTGCTTCACAACCCAACCACTACCAGTCGAAGATGGTGTCGGCACCACTGCGCTGTCGCTAGAACTTGCTGGAACGGGGGAGTTGGCGCTATGGTTTGAGCCAGGACCCGCGGTGTTTAGAACAAGCGTACGGTGTCGGTGCGGAGCAGCTGCTCCTCGACGTCCTCGGCCGCGTCCCCTGTAGTATGGGGCCCATCCTGAGTGAGAAGGAACATGACGAGAAACGTACTGAGACTGGTGGTTAGCTGGCTGAGTCTCCTGTGTCTTGTGGCGGTTTATTTGGCCTTCTTAGATTAGCTTTGTGTTGACAGTGAGCTGGTAATAAGCGCACCTGCGAGCTGGCCAATTTTAGCCAGGAGATCGTCGTTTTCGCTCATGGTGACTATCTGAAGCTAAATAGGGTACGTGAGTGCCAGATACAAAAATCCGAAAGTCTCTCAGATTAAGATCAAAATGTGGGGGTTATTTCAGAATATCTGAGCTGGTGATGCAGATGAAGCAGCAAAGACGCGCCCATTTAGCGCTGGTGTGATCCCGAAATGTTGGTTTGTATGGTTTGCATATACTTAGTGCCTTGGGCACAACGAGTGGCGAAGAGGCCCGTGCGTAGGTAGACGAGGACGTCACCAACCATCAGGCTAGACAGACATAGTATCCTGAGACAGAAAAACGCTTCTTCGAGGCCTGTGCAATTACCTGAGACCAAAGAAAAATCGCTCCAGTATGAGCACCTAAGATTAATATCACTGGAGAGCCGCTCAATTGCCAATGAGCTCCGCATCTCGCGCAAAGTACATGAACAGCATCCCAGAATTGAGAAAAGATTACTGTTTAGTGGACTCATAAGCTTGTTGATATGCACGCGCTGCCTATATCGGTAATTATAAGCAACATGTCAGCTATGTTCTTATTAGAAATTATCCTTTTGTAAGCAGACACACTGCCGCTGTAGGCCGCAATGTGTGGGCATACTGCTTAATCACACGCTTACCACACTATCTCGAACTTATCCCAAAGCCATTCGATAATATCAGGCTTTTGCTATGACTCACGGGATTTACTTGCTTAAGTCAATGCTCAAGGGAAAAAGGTCTACAGCTATGGTGAAACCAGCTCCCGAGTAGGCCAAGCAGACCACAGAAATGCTCATAAGTGGTCGCTGCGAATACTACAGAGCTATGTTTCAATATACCAATCAAAGGCCATACAGAATCATTTACTGACATAGAGTGGATTGCAGCGGATGGGTGATTCTCTTCTATCCTTGAGGTCAAGCATCATTTCACGCACTGTATCCAAGACATAGATAACCAGACCCTTCCCTAGGGCAATTCATATCCAAGAGGCTTGCTCTGCTTTATCATCTTGTAATAACTCCCATATGTTTCAAATATTCCATCAGTCCATGTTAGTCAGTAAGAGCCCCTTCCAAGGTTTCTACTAAGTACCCTTGCACCTGCTGAAAATTCCAACCACTGTGGATGAAAATTGTGAATATTGTTTGGGATCAACTCCAAGATTGTATGTAGCTCATTTGTTCATTTCATTCTATGACTATTTTCCGAATTAAACCCGGACTCCCAGCCTCTCTTTGGAAGCCTTAACGCCAGGACCCTGCCTATGCAACATATTGAAGCCATTATTTTGTCCGTGTTTGTTTAAACGTTCTCAAAGTGAACGTCGTCCTGATCCGTGACCATTCCAGAAGTTGGATCCTCCTCTGACTCGAAAGGATCGTCGGCTCCTGGTGGCAACTCTGCCTTTGCATTGTCCATCGCGTTCGAGTATTGACTGTGGGTTGCCTCAGGCTTCAGTTCCCAGGTCATAGCAAAGTCACCGGCCTTGACAAGGTGTGCAACCATCTCCAAAGTCTGCTTGAGATAGGCCTCTGGCTGTGCCAGTCGGGCCTTGAGTGTCTTAAAGGGCCAGTATTTGAATTCGCGGAAGCACTGGAAGATAAGATCCAGAAGCTCGTTTTGCGGCATGCGGGTGGACTTGTTCTCTTGGGCTTTTCCTTTCGAAGTTCGTGTGGCTTGCTGCAGACGAAGTGAGTAATCTGACCTCAGAAAGAAACAAAAATGGAAAAGACATACCACAAATTGACCCCTCTCGGTGGGAAGAGCATGGCGCGCCTGAATGATCTTTCCGGGAATCTTATCAATGAAGACAGTTTCCTTTCGAGGTTTCAAAGCTTCCAGGGCTCGCTTTTCGGAGATCCGTCGGAATTCTTCATTCTCCACGGGAAGGCAATTGAATTCTTCACTGACCGCGCCAGCGAGGGCAGTGTGTTCTAAGAGTTGTGTGTGAGCAAATACAAATCCCCATGTCTGCAAGATGACATACTTGGTATCGTCTTTCGCACATAAGGCTCCCATCTTTTGCCCTGTTCCCGCCGCTTCGCTTCACGTTTCTGGGCTTCGTACAGAACTGAGCGCGTTTCGCCAAACGTAGCCATACGGTTCTCGACGCCGGGAATATCTTTCTCGGTGAAAAGGAACGTATTGTGAGTGAGGTGTGATCCAGTTCCTGATGGATCGACCGTTTGACGCTGGAGTGTGTAGTCCTTGGGAATGTCCCGATTGTCTGGGCGATCATGCAGGCGCAAACTGACCTGAGAAACGGATGGATGTCAGAATCTACCAGATACACTACATGCGTATGTCTTTCCACATACCCTCTTAATGTCATTCGGTGTCCCCTCCACCCTCATTGTACCAAGCTCAATCTCTTCGTCGTCGTCCAGGTGGGCCCAGTGCTCCCACAACTGCCGAGGCAAACGAGAGAGCCATACATTCTGATATGCTTGCGTGAAGTCAAGATCTCCGGCATCTTCGTAAAGGTCTTCTTCTTCAATGTCCCTAAGGGCGATATCCTTGCTGTCGGGGTCCTGTTTGAAGTACGGGCGATCTGGGTCTTGCTTGACCTGCGCCATATTGGGTGCGGGGTAACTCGAGGACTGTCAGAACTTAGCAAAAAGGGTCGTGTAGCAAATGCGACCGTCGACGCGCCGCTGGATTTATCGGAAAAGAAAGTGGTGGATGGGGTGAAAAGCGCGTTCTAGTGATAAAGTCCGCGCCACCCAAGTCTGGAGCTATCCAGTCAACCTGAAATAGTAGGCGGTGAGAGCCAGCTCTCTTTGTATGTATGACGACTTGCCTGCCCACTGACTGTTCACCTACCTGTACCCTCTCTACTTGTGCTTAGACCCCTACATACCCTTTACCTAAGGACCTGGCAAGATGAGGCTGCCTAGGAGGCAGCAGTTCTTTTAGCCCTCCAGACGGTGTATTGCTATGTTGATACGGCTAGAGAGTAAGGTTCTCGACTGTATGATATGCATAACTGGCTGGCTCCTAAAGCAATGACACTGAGCTTGCTGTCTGAAAAGCCATAGATGGAAGCAGCATACCTAGGAGCGAGATCTTTTTTACTAGCAAGTTGTGGAACAACAACCATTAATCGTGCCAAGCGCCCAAAACACCTACAGGGTGTTGGTGCGCCGAAGTAAAAGTCACATTCCCGCGCAACGTCAGATCCGAAAATTATGTATTTTTATATGACTTTGCCATACAAAGGATACTTAGGGACTACGTAAATTCTTTCAGCCCTTGAGATGGTTAGAGGAAGTGAAGGAAGACTTATATGATGTAAAGGGGGCCCTATTTCATGAAAAATAGCTTTACTTGAACTCAATAATTGCAGTTAAGAGCGTAAACCATTTGGTACATTTCTCTATGTAGTGGCTTTTTAAAATACCGTCCCTTGTCCGCATTACGTGTTAAGAGTCAATGTAAGCATTAGATCAATGATGCCCGACTAATACCATACGACTATACTTTGTCCCTTGGTTTATCATGTTCGTGGACTTAGAAAATTTATTTGATCCCTAAGTATCTTTTCTTATGGAAAAGTCATATGAAAGATACATAATTTTTTGGATCTGACGTTTCGCAGGAATTTGACCTTTACTGGGGCGCACCAATATCCGATTGTCATACTAGAGATCTGGTGAAGCCAATGATAGCGCCTGAGCATGGTCAACCATCAGAACGTAAATACAGATACATTGTTGATACTCCTATGTGCTAGACGTCAGTCCGAATCCTTGACCAAATAAAGGCGCGATGTGCCGCACAAGTCTCACTTTGATGTATACGGAAGTGCATATTTTGTGATATCAAATATTTGCAGGACGTTTGTTCGGAAGAGGTCCTAGACCTGCTTTGAGTCAATTTGTGTAAAGTCTTTACATGTATATTGCTAGGAAACATTTTAAACAAGAACATAGATTTCCTGAATCTAGAAGAAAGAACAAAAAGAAAGAATCTGTGGTCAGCAAAGCTACGCCAGAGAGAAAGTACATCGCTTTCATACCAGACTATATGCTCTCTAGCGCGTTTGATTATTCTGTGGAACCAAGAAACTGCGCTTTTTGTTTTCAACTAGTTCCTTTCTTCCCTCTACGTCTTCCTGCTCCTGAGGAAGGTAGAACGATGGTGATGTGGACAACTTCCCTGGCCGTTGACACGGCCACAGAACTTCCCATAACCGAGCTTCTAGATGTTAGTAGAGAGCTTAATGTAGGTGATAAAATCGAGGTTACTGACTCCCCGGGTTAATAAAACCTTCTTGTCTTTCAGCTTGTTCGAGCCTACGTATTCGACAAATCCGTTGCTCGACTCAAGTCAGGTAGACACTCTTGGCGGTGCCATATCCTTCTTGAGATTATTTCCAAATGAAGATTTATCGTGGCTATACTTTTTCAGAGAGCTGAAAGCTTCCTCGGGTTTGCTCTGGGCCCAATTTGACTCGGGGACCTGAATTCTTCCACCATGACCTAGTTGCGACATTTCAGTAGGTTTGTGCTAGAGAGAGGGTTGGAATATTTCCTTTATTCGAGGTTCAGTGAGTCATCAATCATAACACTACGTCCTTCATACAAAGAGAAGGTGGGGAGCGGTGGCTTTAAATCTGAATTTTATTCATTTGATCAACAATGCGTCATTACATAGGCACGTCTTAATTCGATCAGCACCGCAATTGCTAGACTAGGATTTTTATACAAAGTCTGACACGACTGTGAAGCCAACAAAAGAGCTACATTTCTAGGATTCAAGTTTACCATTTATCTACTTGGTTTAACAAACGCTCTGCAACATAAGAATACCTCCAAATACGGACTTACAGTTATTATGATTCTTTCGAGGTACCAGACTCAGGTGAAGTGAGGTAGTGTTTCCAAACCCAGCTCCGTTCTTTCGACCCATTCTCATCTCTCTGCTTTGTTCCGACCTTATCTACCTCGTATTTGACTTGATGTGTTGATTTTGATGGGCGTATATTCTTACTAAGATTCGATAAACTCATAGAGGCATTGCTGGGAACTGTAGAAGAGACTGAAATCGGAGGAGTCGGCGATTTAGGACGGCCCGGACCGCCATATTCTTTCGGAGGGCGGAAGTTGTATGTCCCCTGCAAGGAGACCATATATAATATCAAACGCCGTATAATCGTGTTTATTGTTTCAGGTATTAGAACAGTCAAATATTGTGGCAAATGAAGAAAGTATATGTAAGGTTACATTAGTACGGAGTATATCAGATTTATTCAGTAGCTTTTGAACCTGCTTTGGATATTGCATGTATGCGCAAAAACACATTCTGATGGAGTCTGCGCTAATCCAATTAGCCTATATATATCTAGTTCTTGTTAAATGCAATGTGTAACTATTCATGAAAAGACTATATTCAAGTATTACGTGCATTCCAGTATATTCATGAGCTAGTTTGACTTGAAGCAGAACAGACCGCATATAAAATCCTCGATCTATAGAGTCAGCTCAGGAGTTAAGTAACACATCAATATATGTTGGGATGACGGTCTTGATCGAAAATTGTATCTGTTGATACTGCCCTCCAGCTTCTCATTCTTAAGGCCAGTTTGTATCTGACCTATTTGCCTCTGAAATTACCGGTCAATTAATTATCAGACTAGCTGTATGAGGTGTTGATTGCTGGCCATCGCTTTGAGCAATAGGCACGATTGACTGTCTTCCCGATGAAGCTTTCACCGCCCCAAGGCGGCAGTGCAGGCGGTGAAAATATACATACAGGGGAAACCGTCGGAGGACCATCGAAAACGGCCCCCTACGCTAAGCATAGTGCCAAGCCCGCGCTGCCGGTGCGTTCCACAAGGAGGTTTTTTCCATTCTACGATAGCCGAAGTATCAACGAATGAAAACCGGTTGAAATCGATAGCCGCAAGATGATTAATGTGCTAAGTAGCGAATGTCTCAGAATCGACCGACATCAAGAACGGTTTCTTTACGGAGTACAGGGTAACGGAGTAACGGAGTGCGGAGTACTCCGTACGGAATAGTAGTTATAATGTTATTGGCCTAGACAAATTGTACTTTGGTCAATACTACCCACCCCGATTCATTCTCTTTCTACCCCGTACAGTTCCAACCTTTGGTATATCCGTCTTTTTTTTTGTATATATCCCCTACTCGTGTACGTGCTCACCTTGATTGTGACCGCAACACACTCTGGCAATTGTAGTCACAACTCAGGACGAGGTGTGGTCAATGCTCCTTTATGACATCAAGGAGGAACGGCCCGTAGGCCGTTTAAGCAATTGCTTGTCTAGCTTGGCCAGCCGCAGTGTTCCATTCCAAACTTCGCTTGAGCCCCTCTTAGTTTTTGCCTTAGTAAGTCCAGGTGGCCTGTAGCGTGTGTATTGGTTGGATGTGTGGAGTCATGTGGGTTGGGTCATGATCCAGTAGCTACAACATACGACGACCCATGGGCAATAGCGCTCAGTATCCAAATCCCTTTTTTGACTTGAATGCCTTGTTTAGCACCGCTTTCCGCGCCACTATATACAGTGTATGGTTAATCAATGAATTCCAGAAGTGTCAAAAATGAAGCTTTTCGTCACCATAAAAATTGAGATATCCCCATTTCGGGCGGCTTTGCAAATCTAAATCTGAAGCTTTCGATTGCCATGTAAACTGAAATATCGTTTATTTTTTTGGAGATCAAAAGCTTCATTTTCGACACTTATGAACGCCAGCCGTATCAGGTTACTTTGATCATTAAGGCAAATATAATAGTAATTTAGGTATCTTAGTGTTCTCTGTTCTAAAACAAGGCACTCCGGCACCGAATTTCCGCCAAAAGGAGGTTTTAAAACCCTGAGCGCTATGGGTCTTCGTACTATAGCTCCATTATCAGATATTCAAGTCTCCTGTCAACAACGCAAAGTTTTGATTGTTACTGGGAGATTCATGCCTTTGTAGACCTAGTTAATAGTCATAGTACATGAGCTATTAAATTGTGGAATATATAGTGCACGTGCCTATATGAGGCATTTCGGGCGATATTTTGAGGGATTTATATATTATAAGAGGATGGCATACCTCCGTTTACTTCCGCTACCTCTCATCTAACCAACCTTGGAAAATGTCGACAGCATACACTCAATCCAGAATATCCCACAAACCTTCCCTCAGCCCCCGCAAGGCTCTCAAGTCCCCTGTTCGCCACATCGCTCTTCGCAGAGAATACGTCAAAAACACCAAAACTCGACTTGTTCTCAAGCCACAAGGTGACGCTCAGTCAGCAGTCGCATACAAAGTCCTCGACGAGGATGGCTCGCTTCAATTCACCGTTACTGGGCGAAGACACGGCGATCGGGTTTGTCGCGAAATCCGAGACTCGTCCGGATTACCTTTATATGAACTTCACCGAAAACTATCACTTAGGACTGCCTGGGCTGTTACGCTACCTGGGAGCAACGATGCAACTTTGGCCATAGGCTCCCCGCGATGGAAATTCGGGTCTCTCTCGTCTGGAAACTTCACTATGTGTGTTGAGAATCAAGCTGCCGTTGACAGTAAGCGCGAGGATGAGAAAAAGCTTACGTTGCTTATTGAGAGGCATGGAAACGCCTTGGCACTCTTTGATATTGTAGATGGTGATAGAAAAGTGGCTGAAGTGCGCGAAAGTATACAACACAACGAGAAATTGCCTTTGACGCGAAATGCCTGGCAAAAGTATCGGCCTGCTCTTGATCTAAATATCACTTCTGGGATTGATCAATCATTGGTATGTATCTCGATTGTACTGATTCTTGAACAGCAAATTGATTGTGCCATAGGTAGTTACTGTGGGTGTCATTTTATCAGATTGGGTATTTGGTTCTGCTTAAGTTGTTTAGTTGCAAATATATATATCATTGTCGATATGCCGCATTTTTCCATATTCTACATTCTCCCACTCACTGAAGAGTAGTAGCAACATTTGTAGGAGATGTGAGAGCGCCTTGGTGAATGAGACCGGCCAATTTTACCAGCCAATTGGTCAGACTCGGACTTTGGATGATAATTCCATTCACATATCTCATCAAGCAGAACACTACGCAGCAAATATGTCTGGCTATTATCTACCAATGGAAAATGCTTCTCTATCGTCGTTGCATCTTCTCAATCTTGCACCCATGGCATGTCAACAATTCGGCCCATCGCTTTTCAAAAGTCCATAGAACAATTCATTATATACCAAAAGTACACGTGAAATAATCGGGGATGAAGAATGACATTTGTCTGGGAGCTGACATGCAGCAAAAGCGAAATTAACGACTAAGAGCCTGCTCGGTCCTTCGCAGCGTCGTGTTCCGCTCGCAGAGCTTCTGCATCGTTCATCTCAAACCGAAAATTCCAAAGCCTCTCTGCAATTGTCAACTCATTTTTAGACTTGACCTTAGCGACTGACGGAGCATCGTTGTCAGCACCTTTAGAGCTCTTCCGCCCAACATGTTGTATCACGCTTGGCGTCACTGCCCAGCGAATTTCATTTCTCGCATTTGCATATTCCTCGGTGAGCATATCGACATAGCCGATACGCTTGGATGTGTATAGGTCCACAAGTTCCGTTATTCGGGACTGGGGAAAGACAAAGGCCTGTGAACAACATCCAAATTTGGGCATTTGATGTACGCCGTTTGATAAAGGAAGCATCGTAACTCGGCCTGCGGCAAAGAAAAGCCCAATCAACAATGGTGTGAATACCCCGCTCAGAAGTATTATTGTCATATTGTTCAAAAAAATGCGGGTAGATGGCTTGAATCTTCGAATCCCTAGGAGGACGCAGACGACGAAGCAGACGACGGCAACGGAGTAAAAAAGATAGGCAGGCCATTCTTCGGCGTTCCAGCCGAGTAATTCTTCGGTGTAAAAAAGACGCAGGTAAAGCCCTAGGTAGAGAAAGTTATCAGTAAAAATGACGGGAAATTGAGAGGTGAGGGATGTGAAGTCAAGCACTTCTCTAATCTGTACTGTTTAATACTCACAATTTGCGGCTCCCATTTTTTTAGTTTGTTCCTCGGCAGAAGACAAGGCGGCTCGAGTGCGGTGGTACCAGCCATCTAAAGCGACAATATCATCTTCAAGCATGATGATATATGGCGCGTTGATAGCTGCACACTCCTTCAACAGATATGTATAGTCAAAGAGAGCCTTCTCGCGCCCTGCTATCTTAGCCTCATTTGTTTCTAAGGACCGTATATGATCGATATCAATTTCGGAAGCATTGTATAGCAAAACTTGGTCTGCTAAGTTATCTAGCCACGGCTCTGCAAACGCAGGGTGCTGCGATGGATCTGTGTGTGCAATAAAGAGGATCAAGTGAATGTCTGCTCTTTCTTCCTTGCTCAGACCTTCGAGGATTGTGCCCACGGTGTTTTCAAAATAGTAGGCTCCCTTTCTCGCAATCGTGGCAATTCCTAGGCAGAAATGAGGTTGCCGTGGACCTTTTGCCATATGAGGCTCTGCAGCACTGTTTGCCGCATCAAGGAATGAAGATGCCTGCTTTATCCTAGTAGCTGAATAGACAGGATTATAGGCATTCATTGGATCAAAAAATATTGAGGTTGGATCGCGGGAAGACAATCTGGACGCGGCCATGAAGAATAGGACATAAGAGAGCAGAAAGAATAGAAAGGTCCGAAGTCCCTGGACCGAGCACATTGATGAGAGGCTCTGAGAAGGGACTAGTCGACCTAACAGCATTTTGAAATGGTGAGGATAAAATCAAATAAAATCAAACCAAATCCAGCTTCCCAGGACGCCAGAATCTGTAAAGGTCCTGAGCCGCACATTCCCTCGAAATTAATAGCACGCGGATGAACCTTTCACCGTGTAAGGATGCTACTGACGCGCAATGACACGGCCTACGAATCTCGTATATCGAGCTAACTGCCTTCGTACTAGTCGGGACCCTGATATGCCTGGCGGGGCGCAAGTATACCTGCCCCCGTAGCCGGGGCCAATGATTAGTCAGATAAATCGGGCAGAACGACGCTATAAGACCGGCAGTAAAGCATGTGGATTAGGAATGCGTAAGTCCTCCCGAGGTCTATGTTGTACTCCATTCATTCATCCGACTGCTACCGCTTGTGATCTCTCAGCCTCTGAAGTTGAAAAAAAAAAAAGAAAAGAAAAAAAAGCAGATTAAGCTACCTTGGCACGCTTGGCAAAACTTTTGACACCAATCCTTCGAAGTTGACAGCCTGACATTACTTGGGGGAGAACATCTTTCTCGGGTAATTCTTTTTTCTTAATTCTTTCTATCTGCGCAGTCAAATGAATAATTGTCAATGGTGAAATATTTCCTTAGCGTGTATGCAGAATCGAATTGTTGCCATTCTAGTCATAGCATTGCATCTCTTCTATTCTGATCACAGGCTCCCCTAACGACCCGTATAGGAGTAGTCCTTCCCAACTCCCACCATTTGGTCCCTTGGGACGTAAGATCAGGCTACTCAGTGAGTAAATCAGAGTTAGGTGACACTTAGCGAGTCATCCAGGCTGGACCTCGGGAGCTTATGGGACGATCAGGTGATGCTAAGTGAGGCGGGCCCCGGGGTAGCGTGTGGATTATATCATCCTTGGGGCCGTGCTCAATTCTACCCAGAGAGCGGAAAGCGGCAAGGGCTGAGCACTAAGATGGAAAGGGAAGGTCGCGGAAATCAACTACTTAGGCAGTATCAGGTGCACATCAACATTCACATCAACATTGACTGTACTAATCCAATTTGAGCTGCTGGGCATTAATACTAACTAGGTAGTATTTACCTGGACACTGAAGTGTGTATTTAGTATGCTCTCATGAAATTTGTCTCAGCGTCACAACAATCACAATTTCCGAGTACATCTAGAATTTCACTTTAGGGCTTGAAGCTCCGGACGAAGGTATTAAATCATGTTGAACTTGTATGGGTGATAATCCCGACGATTCTCTATCACCCACGCCGGCTCCCAAGCAACGTGCCCGGAACCCTCTCTTCCAAAGATTGCCCCTTGACCCTTGTACAATGACAATGCGCATTATCTGGGAGGAGTTATTATCACGGTAGGCAACTCGGAATGAAAGGAAATGCAGGTGGAATAGGACGACCACAGTTATATGTTCAAAGCACCCATTGGCTATGGTACAAAGCCTCCAGATTCATCAAGTATGTAGGGATAATCTGTGTATCGAAGATGATGCTGTTTTGCACCTGTGAAGTTCCTTGGATGTGCTTTGTATACGACCGAGAATTGGAGGGCTATAAGTGAAGTAAAAACGCCGATGGTAAACCACCTCCTTCGCAAGGCAGAAAGGATCCGCGGACAAATCCACTTTTAGCTCTGGATAGACACAACTATGGGAACGTCCTAAAACATAATTTACCTATATATAACCAGATTAAATGAGCTCTATTTCTCTGTTTGTCTGTCCACATACATGAGGTCCAGCCAAGCTCCCCTTATCGATAACAGTCGGTTGTCCCCACCAGCACTCCGCGTCCAACAGCAACTCTCTTAACCACCTCTCCTTCACTCAATCGACCAACATGGCCTCCCAAAAGATGACCAACGCCCTCGCGGGCATCGAAACAAACCCCCACCAACCAACAAAGCTCCAGCAATACACCGACCTCCTCAACGAGATGGTAGCAACCTCCAGCGGCCACGAACTCGCCCAAGATCTAGTCTACTACCTCGACTCAATCCTCAGCGAAGAAGTGAGCATCGTTGCAGCCCGCCCCCTCCTTGACGCCTTCATCACAGTCCTCCAATCCCTCCCCGCCGAAACAAAAATCAAAGTCGGCCAACACGCCGTCACCCTCCTCCACACGCGCTCCGCCTCAGTCGAAGAACAAGACTCGCAGATCCGCGAGATCCTCGCAGACGCCTACGAATCTCAAGAAGAATACACAGCCGCCGCCCGCGCCCTACAAGGCATTCACATCGACAGCTCGCAGCGTCTAGTCTCCGACGCCGCCAAAGCCCGCCTCTGGATCCGCATCGTGCGCTACTACCTCGAAGACGACGACACCACCAATGCCGAAGCCTTCCTCAACCGCATCAAGAACCTCCCCTCCAAAATAGAGGACCACGATGCACAACTCTACTTCCAGCTCTCCCAAGCCCGCATCCTCGATGCCCGTCGTCGCTTCCTCGACGCCGCGCAGGAATACTTCAAAGTGAGTCTCGCGTCGGGCGTCGACGAAGAAGACCGTCTCACGGCCTTATCCGCGGCGATCCGATGCGCTGTCCTTGCACCCGCTGGCCCGCAACGTTCCCGCTCCCTCGCCCGTCTGTACAAAGATGACCGCACGCCCTCCGTGGAAGAATTCGGTATCCTGGAGAAGATGTTCCTCGATAGACTCCTGACGGCGGATGAAGTTGCTGCGTTCGCGAAGAAACTTGCCCCACACCAGCTTGCTGTTACGGCGGATGGAACGACCGTTCTCGATAAAGCTGTTATCGAACATAATCTCGTGGCGGCGAGTAAGCTGTATGAGAATATCCATGTTAATGACCTGGGCTCGATTCTGGGATTGCAGGATTCGGGTGACGTGTCTGCTGGTGAGAAGGCGGAGGCTTATGCCGCGCGTATGGTTGAGCAGGGACGGTTGCGTGGTCGGATCGATCAGATTGATGGGGTTATCTCGTTTGATGCTGAGACTGTTGGTGGCTCTTCGGCGGGTGCTTCTAATGGGACGAAGCTGAGACAGTGGGACCTTGGTGTGCAGGATCTTGCGGAGGATGTCGAGCGGGTTGCTACTAGTATCTCTGATCAGTTCCCGGTAGGTGGTGGATTTTGTTCTGTACGAGATTGTTTTTACTAATGTCTGGATTCTAGGAATTTGCCACAAGCCAGATGGTGCATTAAATGGTCGGCTCTATCTCGTCTGAGTGTCCATTTGATGAAAGATCTACGAATTCATGCCTCTACCTACTTTTGCATATCATTTTAGCCGGCCTGAACCATGACAAATCAAGCTTCATTTGCTGGTGCTTCACACCTCTCTATGTTCCGGGGCTATACTTAATTATAAATGATGTCTTTGAAGCACGACAGCCATAGCTTCATAACCCGTCTATCAACCAAGCGCTCCTAGAAGCTGCTGCATTACTCAATGATGAAATGCCCACGAAATCAAGTGACGTGCAGCCTAGAGAACCAAAGCTAGGGCACGAATCATATATAAAATGTAGAACACGAAGGATATGCAGTATACATGGCTTAGTTTGAATGGTATATGCAAATCATATTCTAGTCTTCGGTGAAGCCGAAGTATCTATATCAAAAACGAATTGTGGTGAGGTTGGTAAGGGTAATTGAATACAAGAAATGGCTTGGCAAGTCGTATATGTTTCAACAGAAAGTGAAGGAAAGTATAGGAAAATAGAGAATGGATGGATGGAGCGGATTGCGTCCAGGTGGCATACTGATATGCCCGCCCCTGTTGGATCCTATTATGGTTTCCAATGGGCGGTTTCGCTCCCGGCAATGGCAGCAAATGACCACAACCCAAGCGTATCAAACAGAAGTGTCTATACATTGTGTTCGAATTCAATCGTCTCGAAGCAGACCCAACCCTTCTCCGAGGGAATTTATACCCTATGCCTTCCAATCCCCCGTCTCAAGAACAGAAGATCAAAGATATCATCACATCGTAACGGCGTAAATCAACAGCACACCACCTCAATGGTTCAGCCTAGTAGTCGAGTCATTCCCCGGAAGGATAGAAATATCCGTCTGGACATTAATAATCCGGGGATGTAGATCATCCCCAAGATGACCCTGCGATTTGCTCTCGACCTGGGCATTATACATCTTGATGAACTCCACATCCGGTGAGCGAGGGCTAGACTTCGACATGAACAAAGAGTTCGTATAATCGGTATTGATATACGCCGGACCAGTTCCATTGCGCGAGCTCTTCAACTTGAGCGCGGGGAACAAGCCGCGGATGATGGGCAGGTTGGAGCAAATCAAGCCAACAGCAGGCTCGACATGCGTCCACAGCGTTGCCTGGTAGACGGTGAAGGTTGGGTCCGTCGGGCTGATCCAGAAGAGGACGACGATGCGGTAGATACTGGCGAAGCAGACGAAGGTGCCGAGGGCGAAGACACCGTTTAGGGCGAGCTTGTCCTGCCATGCGCGGTGGAGGTTCCAGATCATTGGGATTGGTAGGACTAGGATGACGAAGTCGATGAAGACGTTGAAGGCTTGGTTGACGATGATGAATTCCTGAGCGTCAAAACATGAGCCTTCGATGCTGTGGTCCCAGTATGCACGGAGTGGTCGACATTGTCCTGCGCATGCTAGGAAGATCCCTGTGCCCCAGGCGGCGATCAGGCAGTTTAGACCGAAGGTGACTTTTTGGAATTTTGGAGTTGCGAAGACTCGGCGGTAGAAGCAGATAATGGAGATTTTGATACAAGGACAGAGGACGAAGTATGTGAATTGGTTGGCGAGGAAGATCTGGGCGGTGTTAGATTGGGTTGTTAGGGCTTGGATGTGCGGGGTATATATACCTTCCAGTAGTTCATGAGTGTTTCCGGTGAGAGATCCAGGACGTGTGCTCCATTTCCTCCGATTGCACACCCTATGCCAAGTTAGTATTGAATTCGATTGTAATCCAGAGTCATCTCTTACAAAGAACCAGCTCAACCAACATGGCAAGGAGGAGCACCATAGAGATCATGTTCAGATAATCGTCGACGCCGAACCCAACTCTCCTCCGAAGGCGAGCAAAGACTCGCAACACTACAGAGATCAAACATAGGGCGACCAAGACCGAAACGATCACAATCATCTGCCATCCTTTCTTGCTTGGCGCCATTGCACTTCTCAGGCGGTATTCAAAGGAGTGTGGGGTGCTCAACAGAAAAAGGCAAAGTGTGAATTAAAAAAAGAATGAATGGGCAACAGATGATCGGGCGTGTCTGGTATAAAACATGTAGGTACGCGGATGTTCAGATCCCGAAGCGCTGGTACCCTAGACGAGCTCAAAATTCCACATTCCACTTTATCCACTCCTCGAGACTCCTAGTGGCCGATCATTGTCCTGATGAGGTGAGGGTTTGTGCGGGATATATGCAATGCCACGTGAAGGTGATATGATCTACATCTTGGGGCTGACCTGAACATTTACTTCTTTACTTTTGATTTTCGGACTTGGGTCGATTGCAACAAGATAGCATACACGAAGGAGATTCTCTCGATTGTTTCGAACATAACACACTTTTACCAAATAGGCCAGTGGATCCAAAGTGGATATTCTCAAATGAGGAAAGATATTCCCTCCGATCGCCATCTGATAGCCCGAGTCATGCGAACTCTGAGAACCCTGTAGAGATCAGAGTTAGTGAACTATTGATTTTATACTCCTACATCATAGTTCATACTCCAAACTCCGTTCTCGTCTGTACGTTATCCCATCTATCCGTTGTATACTTCCTGAAGCCACCCGCACCCATAAGCGCCACCGGGTCCTCATCCACGGTTGAGGGCTCTCCCGAGTTTCGGTTAAAACCTGACATGTAGATCCCGCGCAGTCAATAGCGTGGTTTTTCCACGCTATTCACTTGCCAAGTATGGAAGAACATACTGCGAATCCAGATGTGGAAGTAGGTACTCTGGACTTCTTACGGGGTATATGAAGATATGCACATCGGATCACTCTTGACAACATAAACCGCTCTGCAAGCCACATCAAGTGGGGGGCTCCGAGACGAATATAAATGGGTAAAGGTCCTCTTCCAAATACACAGTGGGTCTATTGTCAGTCTCTTCAATTACCTCACTGTGTCGATCCCTCAAACACCCCTGAATGTGCCGATTCGGTGTTCAACGTAGCCTTCCAAATTTGGGCACAATCCGATCCACCGTGAAAAAGCCCGCATTGGTGAAAGAACAACCCCCCCCCAAAAGGCAAACAAGAGGTTTGAGCCACATAGTAGTCGCATAGCGCGGAATAGTGCCAAGGGAGTCAGCAAAGATCGTCAAATCCGAATTCTGGATTAGTGGAACCGACATGGAATATGTAAAGCAAAATAAAAAATATTTATCGATAATGTTCCCTGTCTTTAGACCTGCATATGTTGGTCTCACACTGGACGTTCTATACTGCATACCCTGTACCCCTCCCCCACTATGGCTATCGAACTCACCGTCCCCCTCCTAATCAACGGCCATGAGGAAACAACCCCCAACACCTTCCCCGTAGTTAGCCCTTACACCAACACAACCATCTGGTCCGCCTCCGCTGCAACACCTCAAGATGCAATCCGCGCCGTCGAAGCCGCCAACGCCGCCTTCCCCTCATGGTCGCAGACAAAACCAACCGTGAGACGCGACATCCTCCTCAAAGCCGCTGATATCCTCGAGTCCCGCATCGATGCCAATGCCGGGTACATGCGTCAAGAAATGGGCGCAGACGTAGGCGCCTCGGCGGGGTTCGTTGTCCCGCTTGCAGTGCGCATGTTGCGCGAGGTTGCAAGCCGCATTACGTCAATCTGTGGTAGTGTACCCGTCGTCGAGACAGAGGGACAGAGTGCGATTGTCTTTAAGGAAGCGATGGGAGTGATTTTGGGGATTGTGCCATGGTGAGTACCTCGACTCGCATATGTCTTGTTCCTGGTTCCGGGAAACGGGAACGGGAGCGGGAGTCGTTCATATTACCATGGAAATGTACTTAATCGAGACGCTGATTGTTGGTTCGATAGGAACGCTCCCTACGTCTTCGGTATTCGGTCCGCTGCTTGCGCCCTCGCAGCTGGCAACACAACGGTCCTCAAATCTTCCGAATTAACTCCCCGCTGCTACTGGGCTATTGGTCGTGCCTTTGAAGATGCTGGTCTCCCGGCTGGGTGTTTGAATATCATCCACTGCGCCCCGCAGGATGCACCCGAGGTTGTTAATGCTATGATCGAGCACGAGGCCGTGCGTAAGATCAATTTCACCGGTAGCACAGCTGTGGGTCGGAAGATCGCGCGAGCCTGCGGTCAGAACCTGAAGCCTTGTCTCATGGAGCTGGGCGGGAAGAACAGCTCGATCGTGTGTCATGACGCTGATCTACAGACTGCCGTGCAGGGTGTGTTGGCGGGAGCATTCCTAAATGTGAGTTGAAGTTACACTGCATATCTACGTCTACGTCTACCTCCGAGTCAATATCTAACCCACTTCTGTCCTGTTTAGTCCGGTCAAATCTGCATGGCAACCGACCGAATCCTCGTCCACACCTCCATCCTCCCATCCTTCGTAGAAGCCCTCCAACACGCCCTCGCAGCCGGCGCCGAAGCTTCAGCCCTCCCCCCAACACTCGTCAACACAGCCTCCAAAACTCGCGTCGAAGCCCTCATCGCCAGCGCCGTCTCAGCAGGCGCACACTTCATCTCTGGGTCTGCAGACAGCATCCCGACCGACTCGGGGGTACGCATGGCGCCCGCCGTGCTGGGCGGCGTAAAGGAAGACATGGCGCTGTGGCAGGAGGAGTCCTTTGCGTCCGTTGCAGCGTGCATGCCCTTCGACAGCGAGGATGAGGCGATCCGTCTTGCGAATGGGAGTGGGTATGGACTTTCGGCATCTGTTTTCACGGAGGATCTACGGAAGGGATTGGCGATGGCCCGGCGGATTCAATCTGGGTACGTCGTGCTCCAGACCCAGATTTCGGATCTGGGTGGATTTGTGGATCTGTGGAGAGTTTTGGCTGACTTGATTACAGGGCGGTTCATATCAATAGTATGACAATCCATGATGAACCAGCTCTTCCTCATGGCGGTGTGAAGAATAGTGGATGGGGTCGGTTCAATACTGATGAGGGATTGAATGAGTTCTTGGTTACGAAGAGTGTGACGTGGATGGATTAGGAGGAGTTTTGGATCTGGCATCGGCGTTTTGATTTTTTGATTGTGTAACGCTATTTGGCTGCACAGACACATTGCAGGTTTCGTACCTGCTTCAGAAGCCTGCACTATATCTTCGTTTATTTTGATGCTTCTTGCCCATTTGTCTCGTACGAGAAGTATACTTTCTCAGTGGGTATTGACCCGAGCGTCCGCGGAGATTCGCAATATGCTTGTAAGATGTGGAGTCTGACAAGAACGAAGCTGATCCAGTCCATATCTGGAGTCGAGGCATTCCCCAAGCTTATACTGAACAAAATGGCCAGAGCCCACCTTCCACTTCGGCATTTGGATAGAAGCACACGGTGACATATGAGGTCATCAGTCCGACTGGGGCAACTCCCATCCCCGGATTAGGTCAGCCCCATCTTTCCCCTTGGACCAATCAGAGCTCCTATGTTCCTCATCCGGCAACTGAATTTGCCTATTTCCGGTTTCTGTCCACTTGATCTTTCATGACAAGTGATCCAGTTGGATATCCAACGCCGTATCATTACTTTCATTGTATATCTTGGGTTGATATCTCGGTATGAACGATTCAAGTATAAGACATCGTACTTTCTCATCATCATGCCATGCAGAATTCGGGAACTCCGGACCGCGATCATTATTCCGAGGCTCACAGCACAGCTAATCATCACTCTGTACAATGTACATGTACCGAGGAAGCCGGAATTTAATGTCACACTGATTCTCGGTTTCTCTAAAATACGTAGCACTCCGTACTCTATGTAATTCCGGTGACTTTCCGGCGTACTTGATACCGTCTTTTTCCATTCTCCTGGAATTGCTAACTGGAATGTGAGATGATGCAAATGCATGTGAAAATGCAACATTCTAGACTACAGGTTGATGCAGTTAAATTAGTTCTACACACAATGATTATATCGCATGTGATATCTCCTTTCCCCCTTCCCCAGATCGTAATGAAACAGACAAACCAGAGGCAGCCAATTACTGTTACAGCGGGTACCCCATCTTTCATCTCCCCACGTCTTTTGTGCCTCGGCCGATAGACACCGTCGGCATCTGACCTCCCCCGAACCTTTTTAAGATCCGTCCTCTCTCTCTTTCTGATTTTTTCCCCCATATTTACCTTTTATCTCTACACATATCAAAATGGCTGCACCTCAAGTAATTGTGGTCGGTGGTGGCCGTAAGAATCTCTCCCCGCATTCTCTCCATATCCAGCTGACCCTCTCCAGTCTCCGGCCTCAGCGCTGCACACACTGTCTACCTGAACGGTGGTAACGTTCTCGTTTTGGACAAGCAGGCTTTCTTCGGTGGTAACTCTACCAAGGCCACCTCCGGTATCAACGGTGCCCTCACTCGCACCCAGACCGATCTCGGTATCCAAGACAGCGTCAAGCAGTTCTACGACGATACCCTCAAGTCCGCCCGTGACAAGGCCCGTCCCGACCTGATCAAGGTCCTGACCTACAAGTCCGCCTCCGCCGTTGAGTGGCTGCAGGATGTCTTCAACCTCGACCTCACTCTCGTCTCCCGTCTCGGTGGACACACTCACCCCCGCACACACCGTGGCCACGATGCCAAGTTCCCCGGTATGGCTATCACCTACGCCCTGATGCAGCGATTGGAGGACCTTGCCGAGAAGGAGCCCGGTCGTGTCCAGATCATCAAGAAGGCCAACGTCACCTCCATCAACAAGTCTGGTAACAATGTCACTGGTGTCACCTACAACGTCAACGGCGAGGAGAAGTCCGTCGACGGTGTCGTTGTTCTCGCTACCGGTGGTTACGCCGCTGATTTCAGTGAAACTTCCCTCCTCAAGAAGCACCGTCCCGACACCTTCGGTCTGTCGTCCACCAACGGCACCCACGCTACCGGTGACGGTCAGAAGATGCTGATGGCCATCGGTGCCAACGGCATTGACATGGACAAGGTCCAGGTCCACCCCACTGGTCTCGTCGATCCCAAGGACCCCAACGCCAAGTTCAAGTTCCTGGCCGCTGAGGCCCTCCGTGGTGAAGGTGGTCTCCTCCTCAACTCCGACGGCCAGCGCTTCTCTGACGAGCTCGGCCACCGTGACTATGTCTCCGGCAAGATGTGGGAAGAGAAGGAGAAGGGCAAGTGGCCCATCCGTCTCGTCCTTAACAGCAAGGCCTCCAAGGTCCTGGACTTCCACACCCGTCACTACTCCGGCCGTGGTTTGATGAAGAAGATGACCGGTGCCGAGCTCGTTGCCGAAATCGGCTGCGGCGAAGCTGCCCTCAAGAAGACCTTCGACGAGTACAACCTCATCGCCGACGGCAAGAAGAAGGACCCCTGGAACAAGCGCTTCTTCCACAACATGCCCTTCAAGCTCGACGACGAGTTCCACGTCGCTCTCATGGAGCCCGTCCTTCACTTCACCATGGGCGGTATCGAGATCAACGAGCACGCCGAGGTCCTCAACAGCGAACACAAGCCCTTCGACGGCCTCTACGCCTGCGGTGAACTCGCTGGCGGCGTCCACGGCGCCAACCGTCTTGGCGGTTCCTCCCTCCTCGGCTGTGTCGTCTACGGCCGTGTCGCTGGTGACTCCGCCTCCCAGCACCTCTTCCAGAAGCTCATCACCACTGGTTCCTCCACCGCCTCCCAGCGTCTCGGCCAGATCTCCCTCCACATCGACCCCAGCACCCCTGGCAAGATCTCCGTCGAGTGGGGCGGTGCCGCTCCCGGCACCAGCCTCCCCGCTCTCGCTGCCCCCGCTGCCCCTGCCGCCGGCGCCGAGGCCCCCGCCTCCAAGCCTGATCCTGCCAACTTCCAGATCCCAGAGACCGAGTACTCCATGGAGGAAGTCGCCAAGCACAACACCAAGGAGTCCCTCTGGGTCGTGGTCAAGGGCATCGTCCTCGATCTCACCAACTGGGTCGATGAGCACCCCGGTGGCGCAAACGCCCTGTACAACTTCATGGGTCGTGACGCTACCGAGGAGTTCGCTATGCTTCACGATGATGAGGTCATCCCCAAGTACGCCGCTCAGACTGTGATCGGTCGTGTCAAGGGTCAGACCCCTAGCCTGGAGCTGTAGATGCTTCTAGCGACCCCTTCCTTCTCTCATACCTCTTCCCCTTGACGACCGCTCTCCTCCCTCGATGAAATATGATCCTCCAGCGTGTGATCGCTCATACCCCCATTTCGTCTCTTTCTGTTGTTTCTTGTGCTGGCTTCGGCACGCTTACTTCCAGTGTGGATCTAAGATCCTGCTTGGATTCAATTTGGTTCTTGTGTAATATACATACATGGCTTGTTTGGAATATATTCTTTGGAATCATAGATTTTGGTGTTTAATGTACTTGTAGTTGTAGTCGTAGCAGTGGTGGGTTGTTTTGTCCATCTTTCTAGGGCTTAACCTAGGGCTTCGAGGATTGCGCCTAGACCCTTGGAACGCTCTGGCACGCTCAGTAGTTAGAAGAGAGCTGGCCAATCCTGAAGCCCGATGGGTGTTGAGGTAGAGTCAGTGCCAGTAACAATCCTGTTTTATCGGGCCATCTTGATACAATCAGCAAGATACTACCGAGTGCTCCAGTGTAAACGCCCTACTACCTATCGCATATCCAGCCCAATACTTACATATAAATGTACATGGTATATCAAAACAAACCTAGAGGCTTTCAAAAAGAGCCCGTGACCAACCCTCTTACTAGTCCAATCACCCCTTCATATGCATCAAAATCATCTTCAACCTCCTAACAGCAGGCCCATCCTCCCCACCCCCAGTCCCCTCCCCAACCCCCTTCTCAATCTCCGTCTTCGCATCCTCAAGCACAGGCTCCAAATACCCCCAAACCTCATCATGATACCTCTCCTGAACCCTAACCCAATCCCCAGCCCCAGGAAGATCCATCAAAACCGCATCGCGAAGCGAAGTAGAAGTCGAACCACCCAAACTCAAACCATTCCCCTCCCCAAACCCAACCCCACTCCCAACCCCCTGACTCAAAAAAACATCAATATCAGGAACAAGACTCGCACCCGTGAACCGTCCCTCACTTCTCCCCTCCTCTGTCCCCGTCCCCTTCAGAAACGAATCAAGCACCTCTCTCTCCGCAGCAGAAAGCGGAGCCGGCGCAGCCGCAATATCAATCTCCGTATCTGGAAGGGTCGTCGGGTCTTCGAAATTCGGATCGAAGTTCGTATCGGATAGGAGGGACACCACCGCTGCGCCGTCGTCTGTGCTTGGTATATATTTCTGCTCATTCGTGTCCCATTGGCGCTGCCAGACAGTTTCGAGTTGGTGTTGTGTTGGGTCGTGGGCGCGTGCCTTTCCTTTCCAAGTTGAGGAAGGGGTTTGGAGGTCGTCGTGGCTGGACTGGGATTGGGGTTGATTTGTAGTTGTAGTTGTGGTTGCGATTGTCGCATCTATCCCATCGTGTTCGTATACAGTTCTCTGGAATTCATCTTCTGTCAAGGTGGGTAGAGCGAATCCACCTGTTGATGGATCGTGTTCGCGGAAGGCTTGCGCTGCATATGTAGGTGTAGATGCAGACCCGGAGCTGGGAGCTCCTTGCTGTGTGTGTGTGGATAGATCCCTGCTTGTCTGTGTGTTTGGCAGGGATGGACCGGCTGGTTTGCTGCTTGTGCTTGATGCTAGGGTGTGGGATATGTCGGAGCCTGGGTTGAATGCGGATTTTGCTAGGGCTGTTGCGGAGGTTTGGATGCGGGTTGCTAGCGAGGGGTTCGGAGGGGGTTGAGTGTTTGAGGTTGATGATGGGGCTGGGGTTGGCGCTGGGGTTGTGTTTGAGCTTTGGGGTTGGGGGGGATTGCCCCGCTCGTTCTCTTTGTTCATTGTTCGGGTTTTGATGTTGGATTTTGCCCTGGAGGGGGTTAGGAATAAGGGATTGAGGAGGGTGAGTAGGGTTTGGAAATTTGGGATGGGGTAGCTCTTGTCGGCGTTCGGCTTAATGTGTCTGGGCCGGATGATGTAGGGAAGCATGTGAAGGTCAATTGGGATGGAGGATATTGAGACAATATGGACTGAAATAGGTAAGATAGTATATCAATATGACAGGTGACGGAGTTATTGAATGTTTTTTGCAGTTAGATTCTTAGATTTAAACTCCTGGAAATATGACACAGCTCGGGACGCTCAGATATATACTTCTAGATCTATACTCATATCTACGAATGAATTCTCGACATTAGCATATAGATGCCTCGGATTCCGATAGCGTCAATTGCCTTTGCATCCCCTGCCACTCCTAGACAGTTATCATATGATAGATGCCAATGCTTAAATTGGCGGAGATCTGCTTGGGCCTCAAGGATGACGACAGAGGCGCATAGGACAGCTTCGGGCATATTAACGATTAAAGGCAGATTAAGAAGAGATAGATTCAAACTATTGCAAGCAGATAGCTAGATATTAGCCTAGAATTTCAATTGCTATTCCGAATGCCATTCGCAGTTGTCGGTTGTATACGGGTTGGAAGGCCGAAGAGGGGCGCAGAGGGCAATGTTACAATCGTTGGTAGTGTTGATGTCAGCATGTTCCAGGTACCCTATGCCCGACCTAAATCTCATGAATATTCAATCTCCTGTGAATTAGATTAGTTAAATTTTTTTTCCCCAAGTTGAATACATAGACTTGAACATTGACGGGTGCCCAAGACTGTTCAGTGGTATCTCCGTAACGAACCTCCCCACCACCGCCTCAACTTATCTGGGCAACTTCACCTCTTTTCCTTGTCTTTCTTCATCGCCCCCGGACCAAGTACGCAACTCCATATCCCCCTAGATTTTTGATATGTTGGATCTTCTAACCGTTTGTTCCCTTAGTAGAAACTTTTTCTCTGATCCCCTCTCAAGCTCTGCTGCGGGTCCACTCATAACAAGCACATTTGTGTTCCCTCTTGCCATCTCATTCGGCAACAGCTCTTCATTCCTCAACTTGTCTTTCCAACTTGGATTGTTCTAGCTGTTCCCCTCCCCCTGCCCCTCTTTTCGCCTTACCGCCATCCGCTCTCGAAACCCCTCGCTCTCCACCGGTGACCGTCTATTACCGCTCTTGTTATTCCCATCCGACCGAATTCTTTCGTGTCGGCTACCGCGCCTACATCGCTTCATACCGATACTTTGCATCGTCAATAGAGCTTTCGGAGGCATTTGCCAGCCCACCTTTTCAGTCCGCCTTTCCGTCCCTCCTATCTTGGTCCCTGCCCTTGTCGCGTTCAAGGGCTCGCTAGAACGTGAAAATGGTAGACAGAGATCCAGGCACACCTACTTGGAAGTTCACACAGTAAGTTTACACCGGATTATGTCCTTCGGACGTTCCCGTTCAATGGTTTCCATTTTTCTCCCCCTCTTGTCCAGGCGCTATTAACCCAGCGTCACCCCAAAGAGTCATTGAATGGCGGCTAACTTGCTCTCAGATGCTTCGGCGATAAAGGCGATGTAGAAGATATCACAGAAGGTAATTGGCAGCCTCCCTCGCACACGGCCAAACTTGGTCAATTTCCACAGAGTGCATCGACTGACACGCGCTCTGCAGCGGACATCATCTCGACCGTCGAATTTGATCACACCGGTAACTATTTGGCCACTGGTGACAAGGGAGGAAGGGTGGTGTTGTTTGAGCGAAATGAGACGGTAGCCCACCCCCTCCGGTCCTTTTTTTTTTTTCGATTTTTCTGTATTTTTGTCATGTCTTGGGCTAATCACTGAGCACAGAAAAAAACCTGCGAGTATAAGTTTCACACAGAGTTCCAGTCACATGAGCCAGAGTTCGATTATCTCAAGTCGCTAGAGATCGAAGAGAAAATCAACAAGATTAAGTGGTGCCGACGACAGAATGCTTCCCATTTCCTCCTTTCGACGAACGACAAGACGATAAAGCTTTGGAAGGTCTTCGACAAGTCACTGAAGGTGGTCGCAGAGAACAACTTATCGAATGAGCTCACTCCCGCAAACCCTGTTGGGGGTGGGGGTATGGCTCGCGCACCCCGCGTATCCTTCAAGGACCCCTCCGCACTCAAGCTGCCTCGTCTGACACACCATGACACTGTGGTTGCCGCTGTTCCACGGAGAACATACGCCAACGCTCACGCGTATCATATAAATAGCATTTCCGTTAACAGCGATGGTGAAACCTTTATCAGCAGTGACGACCTCCGAGTGAACCTATGGAACCTCAACATCCAGGACCAGAGCTTCAACATCGTGGATATCAAGCCAGCGAATATGGAAGAACTCACCGAAGTCATCACAGCGGCCGAGTTCCACCCGGTGAGCTGTAACTGGTTCATGTATGCCAGCTCCAAGGGCACAATCAAGCTTGCGGATATGCGGCAACGGGCATTGTGTGACGAGCACGCCAAGCGTACGTAAAACACGGGAACTGTAGCAATTACCTTTTACTGACTGTTTGATTGCAGAGTTCGAACAAGAAGAGGATGCCTCGTCCCGTTCCTTCTTCTCCGAGATTATCTCCTCCATCTCCGACGTGCGCTTCTCCAACGATGGGCGGTACATTGTGTCCAGGGATTACTTGACAGTGAAGATTTGGGATGTCAACATGGAACGTCAGCCAATCAAGACCATCCCCATCCACGAGCACCTGCGCCCCCGCCTTTGCGATACGTACGAGAACGATAGCATCTTTGACAAGTTTGAGGTGGTCTTCTCTGGCGACGCGGAGAACGTTATGACTGGCAGCTACAACAACAACTTCATGATCTACCCTACAGAAGAACAAAAGGACACGGAGATTGTGCTCCAGGCAGACAAGTCGGCATTCAAGGCAAAGAAGGTTGGTGTACCAACGCCGATGAGCAAGGGTAACGGAAAGAAGGCCGGTTCGCGATCCGGCAGCCCTGCCGGCCCCGGCAGCCGTATGAAGAAGGAAACCGATGCCGACCAGATCGACTTCAACAAGAAGATCTTGCACATGAGCTGGCATCCATTCGAAGACAGCATTGCAATTGCGGCGACCAACAATGTAAGTTTGATCTTTCTCATTTTTCTCAGTCCAAATTTCAACAATGCTAATTGCGAATCCAGCTCTTTGTCTTCTCCGCTCTTTAATCGCACCAAGTACCATTGTACCGTCACAAGGCCATTATCATTTTCCATGGACAGGCGCATCTGGGGGTTGGATCGGGTGGCTGGAGGGCCTTGGTGAACAGGCAAGATATGAAGAATGAAAACCAAGAAAATAATGATAGCAGCAAGCCACAGGTTCCATAATCACAGGACTTTCCCCCCTTCCCCCCCATTCCCTATCTCTGCTTTCATTGTGGAACTCATCTGAGTGTTGGAGACCTAGTTTTTCTTTACATACGTCCCCCTTACTCTTTTCCTGCCATTGCAGTGGATTGTTAAAGGCGTTGTATGGTGGCCAACTCATGATAGAGAATGTCATGCCTGTTTTGAGGGCCCTTCCATAGTTAGTACTGAAAGACTTCTATAGATTTAGTAGCTAACCAGTATTGGGTTGTTAGAAATTCTAAGCAGAATAGTATGATTTCATGGTTTACGCGTTTTTTACTTTGTCTGTTGTCTTCTCTGACTAATAGGGGAAAAAGGCCAAGAATGGTACCCCATAAAAAGATCCCTTAGCAAGGACCCTGAAAATATGCTGAAATGAGGCCACTCGACTCGGCGTTGTTGGCCAGCCCTTACCCTCCGCCCCTTTCCGAGGCTTGACAAGCGAGAGGTACCCCAGCCTTCAAAACGAGCTTTATTGTGCTGATTGATGCAGGATGTACAGTAGACGACGGGCAATAGATCACTAGTCTATTCAGACCATTGAACTCCATCCATGACTTGTGCTATTGACATCTGTACCTGTTCACTCCATGCCTGTCATGTTTTTCTGCCGGCAATGGCGGGCGATGACGAAGGCGGACTGAAATTGACCTATCGCACAATACCAAGCATGACCATTGTAACGTCTCCCATTGACGGGTACCTACCCAGAAGATACCATTGATACTGTAATGAATGAATTCTGAATACACTTCGGAAAATGGAATGTCCGAGAGGCACCCACTAAACTACAATAGGTTAGTTCCGGACAGGAAAGCCTCCACTGGAGCCCGCGATCGGTCGCGCGCAATTCCATCACCCCAGTTTGTGTCTCCTTGTCTATCGTACTTCTCTGCCGGTCTTTCTTGCTGCGTGGAGTCGGTTTCTGTCTTCTTATCTGCACACTTTCGGGTCATGCTGTGACCCTAGTGCAACCTGAGCGTTGCCAGTCGATTCCTACACACGAGACTACGAGCTCCAGCTCTTCGATCACCACACCGTTACTTTTTCTCCCCTCCTCGACCCTTCTTATCCGTGAAACCTCCATTCTACTTCTCCGCTACTGGGGTTCGTGTATACACCATGAACTCTGGTAACGATAACTGGCACTCCTCCGGTGGACCGCCGTCGCATCCTGGTATCGATCAAATGAACCAGCAGCCTCGGCCCCTGGGGTCATTCAGGTACGAGCAGCCGTCTATAGTATAAGTGGCTTGATATGTATACTAATCCGACGTTCTTGCGCTTCAATAGTCAAAATCCCTCTCAGCAAGGACAGGCCTCCCAGCCCTCGGGCCCGGTACTCCCCCCTCCAGGTGGTGAGTGCCTCTTTGTGAACCATGGATCTCCCTGTGGGAATCCAATGATGAAAAAAACCGTTTAAACTGACTGATCTTGCTATTACAGCACCCTACCATCCTAGTCAGTCAGGTGGCCATTCTCTTCCTGGACTGGCAGAATTGAGCCAGACCCACGGAGGGCAACACCAACCCTCCGCGTACGGCCAGCACCCAGCAGGTCAGTCGCATAACAGCGGCCATTCTCTTCCCGGAATTGGTCAAGCCATGCAACACGCTTCTCCCCAGCTCAATCGCGAGCGGGAGCGGGACTCCAGGGAGCGCGAAATCATCGAGCGCCAGCGCCAGGAAGAAATGGCTCACCGTGAACGTGAGCGCGAGCGCGATCACCGTG